CCTTTCTAATATTTGATTTATTCTATCTTTGTCATGATGACAGTAAATAATATCTGACTAGATATTTTTTAAGACACTTCTATACAGCAATTACCGAGGTTAATTAGGTAAACTAGGCAGGGTAGGGTAGGCAAGTTATTGTATAATGATGGTTTGTTCTGCAGACTGTCGTAAAATATATAGCTTAAAGGGGCTAATAATATTGACCTTAAAATGGTTTTAAAAAATGTATAACTGCTTTTATTCTAGCAAAAATAAAACAAATAAGACTTTATCCAGAAGAAAAAAATATTATCAGACATACTGTGAAACTTTCCTGAATCTATTAAACATCATTTGGGAAATATTTAAAAAATAAAATAAAAAGGGGGTTAATAATTCTGACTTCAACTGTATATAGAAGTGTCTTTCTATACAGCTACAAACATGTACATTTAATCTGTAACCACTACAGCAATCTACACACATCTTTAGGTTAAATTTAATTCACTTCCTTGCAGATACATGTGTATATATAGTCACTGAGAGCATGTCTCGTCATCACATATTTCTTTAGTAAATATTTTTATTTCAACAATGAAAAAATATCTATTAAGTAACATTAAAGACATCAGTGTTTGTTGTGATTTGTTCTTGTCAATGATGCTCATGGTCCTGTCAGTCATCTCCCCCTAAACTAATCAATGAAAGCAGACCGTATCCACCTTTTCCCTACACCCTATAACATTTTGTGTGAATTCTGGAGGATTTATAATCAGTGAAGTGTTTTTAAAAATTTGGGTATGAGGTGACATTATTCTCCTTATTGTTCAACCACTGCTTTTTAAAGGAACCATATTAAAATGAACAAATCACTACCAGCAGATCATAAATAACCCCAAACACATCTTTCAATACTGTGGGCATGTTGAATGTTACTGTACTTCACAGATAACACAGAAAAAATGTTTTTAAGATCAATAAAAAAAGAATGCATATAAGACCACTGCAATTCATGCAGTTTTCAAAGTCAGATGTGGATGTATTCATAGTGGAAACTTATGGGACAATGTAAATGACTGGATTTTATTCTTTTAAACAAAAAGTCCCCAAACTGAAAGTGAAGCCCATCATTTATCGAACAGTAGGCACATTTGGAAAAAGGTGGATAAAGCCAAGCAGACACTTTCAGTATAGAGAGGTGGCATGTATTGCACAACTGAACTAATTAGTTTTATTTTCTATGAAATAAAGAAACAAAATGAAAGTGAGGGCGACACATTAGGTCAGTGATAAGCACTGTCGCCTCACAGCAAGACGGTTGCTGGTTGGAGTCCCGGCTGAGTCAGTAGGCTTTTCTGTGTGGTGTTTGCATGTTCTCCCTGTGTTTTTGTGGGTTTCCTCCCATTGCTTCCCTTAAAGTCCAAAGACATGCGCTATATGTGAATTGAATAAACTAAATTGTCAATTTTTTATGAGTGTGTGTGTATGGATGCTTCTCAGTACTTGGTTGCAGCTGGAAGGACATCCACTGCGTAAAACATGCTGGATAATTTGGTGGTTCATTCCTCTGTAGCGACCTCTGATGAAAAAAGGGACTAAGAAGGAAAATTTATTTTTAAGTTATTTATTTTAACATTTTTATTTATTTATTTTTTAATTTAGATTTTTCTCAAAACTAATGTGTTGCATTTCATTTCTGGGAATAGGCACTTTTGTATTGTGAATTATGCTGCATCGTAAGTTGAATCAAATGTGACATCCCTACTGATTGGAAGTGGCAGATTTGTATGAGTGTACCTGATATTTCCTACATTTTGAGACAAGATTTTCTCTTATAAATAGTTATACCAGTAATTCCGTAATATTTGTTTAGGAAATACATAATATAACTATATTTTTTATATAACTATTATATACAGAATGTTCCCGGTGTTGGATTGCGGCTGGAAGGGCAATCGCTGCATAAAACAAATGCTGGATAAGTTGGCGGTTCATTCCGCTGTGGCGACCCCTGAATCATAAAGGGGCTTTGCAGAAAAGAAAATGAAAGGATGAATGTATTCTGTATACAAAATGAAGCATTTTTTTTAGGGTTTTGTTTAAAGCTGTGAGGGCTGTGGTAGAGGGGATAGAATATAAACAGTAGTTACTACAGTATAAAATCATTGCCACTAAAAGATACATATGTTTGTGTGTGGGCACCCCATATTCCCATTTTTTATAGGCGTATAAACCATATAGAATATTTTTACAGTATAAAAACAATGTAAAACTAAGCAGTGTCCCCATAATTCACAAAAAAAACATGTGTGTGTATGTGTGAGCATATGTGTGCGTTTGCATGTGAGTTTTGACTGTGAGTGTACATTTTAGTCAAGGTCCTCATGAGGAAAATAGCTCAAAAATCACACAAACGAATTACATATATTGAAAATGTAAAAATGCAGATTGTTTCCTGTGAGGGTTGAATTTAGGGTGAGGGCATAGAATATACATTTTGTACAATTTAAAAATCATTACAGATATGGGAGGTTTCCATAAAGATTACTGTACTTGTGTTTGTTTGTGGTTGTGTGTGTGTGGGAGGAGGCTGAGTCAGATTTTTGATTAGGGTGTGTTCTAGTTAACACTGATGCTCACGAGCATGCCAGATGCTCCAAGTTTCCTCCATTTCCTACTGTCTGATTCACTGGCTTATTTCTGCTTACTGACGTAGAGCTTTGTGTCATCATCTAATGCACATTTGGCTTAACAGCAGGGTTCTAGCAAGTCTTTGAAACATTGAAAGTTTAGACTCAGGTCTTTATATGTGCTTGAATTTATTTTGTGCAAGACATTTTCCGGTGGGTAAATCATGTTATCTCCTCTAGTCCACTAATGTGTTATTTCTTAAGCACTTTGTAGCATATGCATAATACATTAGCTACAGTTGAAGTCAGAAATATTAGCCCCTATTTGATTTTTATTTATTTTTAAAATATTTACCAAATTATGTTTAACAGAGCAAGGACATTTTCACAGTATGTCTGATAATATTTTTCCTTTTAGAGGAAGTTTTATTTGTTTTATTTTGGCTAGAGTAAAAGCAGTTTTTAATTTTTTTAAAGCCATTTTAAGGACAAAATTATTAGCCCCTTTAAGCTATATTGTTTTTCCACAGTCTACAGAACAAACCACCGTTATACAAAAAATTTTCTCATTATCCTACCCTGCCTAGTTAACCTAATTAACCTAGTTCAGCTTTTAAATGTCACTTTAAGCTGTATAGAAGTGTCTTGAAAAATATCTAATAAAATATTATTTACTGTCATCATGGCAATGATAAAATAAATCAAATATTAGAAATGAGTTATTAAAACTATTATGTTTAAAAATGTGTTGAAAAAATCTGCTCTCCATTAAACAGAAATTGGGGAAAAAAATAAACATGGGGCTAATAATTCAGGGAGTCTAATAATACTGACTTCAACTGTATGCACATTTATGATTGTGACTTTGTAGGTGTCCCAACATAATTTCTTCGATTTTTGGTTATTTGACCTGAAAAGTCTTTGAAATGTGCTTGAAATTGAAGTTAACCAATATGTATTTCATGTAATGGGGTTATGATTCTGAATGTTCCTGGTCTAGAAGAGCAGGCGGAAGTCTGGCTTTGGCATATATAGTAACTGGATTTAAAAAGTTAACAAAACCTCAGAGAAACACAATCAGCACATGCTTTGACCTTGAGTTTCCTTGTTGTCACTGCAGTGGTAAACATCTGTCTTATTGAGGCATGTTTGATATATGCATGCTGTTTTATTTGGTTGTGCTGTGTTTTAGTCTGCATGCTTGTTAGGTTTTGAATTGGAATATGAGCATGTGTTTAATCTGTGATCTTGACAAGTGGTAAACCGAGGGTATAATACTGTTCAAAGGGGGATTTTTATCAAAATTAATACTTTCAATCAGCAAAGTAACAGTGAAGACATTTATAATGTAATGACAGAGTTTTTATTTTAAACAAATGCTCTTGTTTTGATCCTTATATTAATTTAAAAAGTATAATACATATTGTCTATTAGTATATAATAATATTAAAGGGTTAGGTCACCAACCAAATACTAATATTAATAATAAACATTGGCGCATGCATGTCAAACAGGTATAACTGATCACTGAGCAAAGTTAAAATGTGAATAAAAGCCTTAATGACATGTTCAATTATTAAGGTTATTTATAAATTGATTATGTCTCTTCGTAAGACTTAAAAAGACTTAATATGATATACTTTTAAACTATTTAAAACATTTTGAAGCTTTAGAGTTTTGGTTGTACACACTTTCATTTAAGGGGCAGAAATCTCTCAGATTGGATTAAAATACTTTCATTTGCACTCTAAAAAATGCTAAGTTCCACACAATCACCTCATGTCGTTTCAGCGCAAATCGATTAAGTTAGGTTTTTGTTAAATTAAGTTGACTGAACATAAAACAATTAAGCTGTCCCCCACAAAACTCAAGACTTGTGTTGTTTGAGCTCATTTAAAATAAGTCAAAACAAGAGCACGTTTGTTTTGAGTGTGTGTTGTAAATAAAATTTAGTTGATACCCGAGTTGTAAATCAGCCGATTAGAATGATTTTTGAAAGCTCACAAATGGCACTTTAAAATATATATAATGTAACAGAGAATGGTCATTATCAGCATCACACATTAAAAAAATTAAGCACAATTCTTGAGTTTAGAACTTAATTGTTTCATGTTTAATGTACTTAAATTGGTTAAAAAAAAAAATAAAAAAAAGTTAACTCCTTTATGTTGTCCAAAAACAAACTGATTGTGTGGAACCCAACAGTTTTTACAGTGTACTTCACAATATTATTTATTTTGTGGCTTTGCCAAGCATAAACTTTTACCAACCACAAATTATTCTCATCCCTCTGTCTATCACTAGTCAAGAAGACGCATGTGAAAAGCATGTTTGTGGTGTACCCGTGTGCATGTGTGTTGTAAGATATGAAATTCTGATCATTTAAAGGCCCTCCGTCTCCAGATATGGACGGGAACTATGGAGGGGGGCTTCTGGATATGGTGAAAGGAGGTGCTGGAAAGTTCTTCAGTAACATCAAGGACAACCTCAAAGACACCATCAAAGACACCTCCACCAAGGTTATGAACCAAGTGGCCACGTAAGTATTCTTTTCACAAGCAATCACCTACATTGCAATTGCATTCCTTATTTTGTGACTTTTGATTTTATGTTTTATTTTTCCCTGTTTATTTATGTTTTTGAATTGCATTGGGACTTAGGTCTATCTTTAAACAACTTTTAATCTTGAAGAGTTTGAAAAAGTTACATTTATTAACATTTTAAATGGTTTAAAGTGATATGTTGTCTGTTTTGACAGTGTATGTTACGCTACAAAAACCTTGTAAAATACTGCCTTTACATTGTTTATTATTTTACAGACTTTTTTCTCTATATATGATTTCTTAAACATTATATTACTTCAATCTACAAAAATGTTAATATGGGCAGCACGGTGGCACAGTGGGTAGCACAATCCCTTCAGAGCACAAAGGTCGCTGGTTTAAGTGTCAGCTGGGTCAGTTGGCATTTTTGTTGGCATTTTTGCATGTTCTCCCTGTGTTCGCATGGGTTTCCTCCGGGTGCTCTGGTTTCCCCCACAAGTCTATAAACATGTGGTATAGGTGATATGAGTAAGCTAAATTGTCCGTATAGTGTATGTGTGTGAACGAGTGTATATGGGTGTTTCACAGTGATGGGAAGGTTATCCGCTGTGCAATACATATGCTGGATAAGTTGGTTGTTCATTCCGCTGTTGCGACCCCAGATTAATAAAGGGACTAAGCCGAAAAGAAAATGAATGAATGAAAAATGTAAAAAAAAAAAAAAAAAATATATATATATATATATATATATATATATATATATATATATATATATATATATATATATATATATATATATATATATATATATATATATAAAACAAAAAGTCACCATGTTAAACTCTAGAGTTAAATTTCAAAAATTAGAAGTGGACATGGCAGAGATCAAGATCCCATAATGCAATTCACATCCATAAATAAACAGAAAATATTTGTTAATCACAAATTACAGAAGCTGTTAATGAACAGGTATTATTTACTGTGTAAACATACCGAAAAAATGAATGTGAGTGTTTGTTTTTCTGCATCTTTGAATTTGTGTTCCTGTTTAAAACTTCAGAGAAAAGAGTCAAGCTCTTTTAATAGAGTACCTTCTGACCTAGTTTTCTGTAACACATTATTAATATATCAGGACTACTCAAATTAATGACAATGTTTAGGTGTGTGTGTGTGTGTGTGTGTGTGTGTGTGTGTGTGTGTGTGTGGTGTGTGTGTGTGTGTATAGTATGTATGCGCACTATTGTGGGTGGTTTACAAGGACAGAAATTTGTGTAATGTAATAGATATGAGCCAGGTATTACATCATTCAGGTGGTTTATGAGTATTAATTGTAATTAAATGTTAAAAAAAATATTCTTAATGGTGTTTTTTTGACAAAAAATTGCCAAAGGTTTTATGTGAGGGATGGGTTTATGGCTAGGAACATATATTAAGCAATTTTTACAGTTTAAAATTCATCATGGATCGTCGCTGCCAACACTCAACACTTTTTTTTCCTTGTTCTAAAGCTAAAAAGTATGTATGATAGACACACATCCATATCTTAGTTAAAAATACATAATCAATACAAGTCCATAGTTTAGACACAATTTACACAAGAAAATACCGTGACTGCGTAGTGAAATATGGACCAACCAAACTGTTGTTACATTTTCATATTTTAATCTACATTTTACACTCTAGATGTCAAATCAAATGAAAAAAAATATTATAACAAACATATAAACAGATACATGATGAGCAAATATGTCATTTTAGAATTTTATTGTTCGTGAATTGGGGCGGCGCGGTGATGCAGTGTACGGTGCTGTCGCCTCAGAAGGTCGCTGGTATGAACCCTGGCTGGGTCAGTTGGCATTTCTGTCTGGAGTTTGCACGTTCTCCCCATGTTCGCGTGGGATTTCAGTTTCCCCCACAATCCAAACACATGGGTGAATTGGGTAAGCTAAATTGTCCTTAGTGTATGTGTGTGAATGAGCGTGTATAGGTGTTTCCCAGTCATGGGTTGCAGCTGGAAGGGCATCCGCTGCATAAAACATAAGCTGGATAAATTGGTGGTTCATTCCGCTGTGGTGACCCCTGATTAATAAAAGGACTAAACTGAAAAGAACAGGAATGAATGAATAAATAAATGTTCGTAAATTTATATTAGTATATTTTAAAGCAAAATATATAAGAAATATATTTTGTGATTTATGTTTCGTTACTTAACTGTGTACAAACGCAATAAGAATAATCCTTAAATAGAAAATGAAAATCTTATTTTATTACTATTTATTCACTCTCATATCTCTAAAACCCATTTTTATTCATTTCCTTTTGCATAACATAAAAGAAGAAATTATGATTTTTTAAACTAAACTAAACTAAACTAAACTAAACTAAACTATAATTATCTTGTTAAATGGTTTTTGTGACCATTGAGTTCTATAGAATACAGCACAAGTTCAGGAACTTTTCTCAGTTAGGAAATTGATAATGAATGATAACTGTTTACCTTTTAAAAAGGCCTGTAGTGCCTTTTTTAAAGGTAAACGGTATATAAATTGAGGTTTGCAATATTAGAATTCACAAAGTAACTGTTCTTGTAATGTAATGTAACAAAGACCTTTGGATAATAAAATAAATAAATAAAATAATTAACAATAATGCAATTTATTATATTGTATATTTCTTATGTTTATTTATCAAAATATTCTTTTAAAAGAATGTCTGTTTTAGAACAAAAATGAGGATCAAGCAGATCATAAAATTTGTCAAGTACAATGTGATTGTTTTGGTGAATTTTCCAATCGAAGCCATAAAAAAAGCATCAATTCCACACTGTTCTTGTAACTGAGAGCTAGACTAAAAACAAGCATCAAAAATAATGTGTTTGCTGTGACGGACACAATAAATGCATTACCAGCATAAACACCATCATCAAACACATAACAGGCCTGCAACAGAAAGGCAAGCCCTGTTTGCTTGGGTCACACTTGTTTGTGTTTTTGACCCAGCTGGTGTTCAGTTATCCAGAGGAGACTCTGCTGATGCAGGCGCATTCAAACTCCTGAACTATTCATGTGCATTTATCGCTCAGCTGAGAGGAAAGCGTTCAACACTAATGGTTACACATAGAAGGAAGCTCTTGCGTAATGCAGTATTTTACCCCCCACAATGACCCAGAAGCAGATCACATCCACCTGGTTAACCTGCAGTGCTCTTAAGTCAGGTAATTTCACTGATTGTTAGGTAACCAAAAAATAAAAAAAGAAGAAAAACTAATTAACTGACTGATTATTATATCAATGTTGAAAGTTACAGTTTAAAATAATTTGGTAGTAAAACATGTATATAAAATTATATTTATATAGCACTTTGTGATTAAGGTCCATTAGTTAATGTATTTACTAGCATAAACTAAGTTTGAATATTCTTGTAAAACATTTATTAATCATAGTTTAACATAATCTATTGCATAATTAATATTGCAAATTAACGCATTATTAACATCCAAAGTTGTGCATGTTAACATTAGTTAATGCACAGTGAGTAATGCTAATACAATTATAAGAGAAGATGCTACAATCCCGGTTTGTGGACGTTAAATCAGGTTTATTTTATGCATTAAAATAATGGAGATCCTGTGGATATTAACATGTATCCTGTCACATTTGCGTGCAAAAACAGTGCAAAGTTAAACATGTGCGCTGTGTGCGTGAACTTTGCAACGAGATTGTGTGTGACTCATCGTTGCATAAAGGCTTGAATTAACTCCACAACAAATACATTAATTAATCATTGGTAAAGTTCTTACTGTAGTATTTCTCACATACAATGTGAAATTTCACAATGTGAATTTTTCCAATACCAATATTTTTAAAGGTATAATAAATAATCTGAAGGGTGTTTTGAGCTGAAACTTTACAGACACATTCTGGAGGCAGAAAAGACTTATCTTAAATCTTGAAAAAGGGGTAAAATAGGTGCTCTTTAATATAAACAAGCTTTAAATAAATAAAATGAGTCCATAATAATTTAATTGTTGTAAAAGCAAAACAAATATTCTTTCTTCAACATTTTATAATTCTAAACTTACTATTTTGCAAATAAATAAAAAGTTGCATGACAAAAAGTCATGACATTTAAGTGTTTTTGTTAGTTTAAATTTAATCAGTTAATTGGATATACTCTTGCTTTAGTTATAAAATGATTAACTTAATATTTTTAGTCAGTTTGACTGATTTAACAGTTGAGATGACTAGAAAAAAATAATTGAATCAACTTGAAAATTTTAGGCAGCAAGTTTTAATTATTTATTTATTTTTTTACAATGCTTGATTGGAACATGAAAGCATACTACACATTTCTAAGTTAAAATACTGAAATATCTCCATGGCTTTCTCTTACTAACCCAAATACACTGATAATGATTTTAAAAATCTGCTATTTTCCAGTGTTGTGTGAAAGGTGAATGACACCAACATGAACATAGAAAGCACTGCACAAACACAGACACTACTAGTGTGAACTGCTAGTGTTTTTCATTCACCTCTTGCTCAGAGGCTTAGAATAGTAGCTTGTTTACATATGATCTCATTAGAGGGATTTTATTCTTCAGCAGATTACTGAGGTGACTTGGGTGTTCTATAATGTTGTCCATCTACTATTACTGTTAGATGACTTTTGCTTCAAGATGGGAATATATGAAGAGTTTTAAGTGCCATCTGGAATTTTATTCTACAATAAGCATTTTTCTTAGCCTTCTATGTTTATGTTAAGTTATTTCATAAAAGCAATGGAAATAACCTATACTTTGCTATAAAAGTGCGTATCTCAGCCTGCCTGTTGGATATTTCACACTGGATGAAAGATCATCATCTTCAGCTGAACCTCGCAAAAACGGAAATGCTTGTAGTTTCTGCCAACCCGACTCTACACCATAACTTTTCAATCCAGATGGATGGGGCAACCATTACTGCATCCAAAATGGTGAAAAGCCTTGGAGTAACGATTGATGACCAACTAAACTTCTCTGACCACATTTCTAGAACTGCTCGATCGTGCAGATTTGCACTCTATAACATCAGAAAGATCCGACCCTTCTTATCTGAACATGCAGCTCAACTCCTTGTTCAAGCTCTTGTTCTCTCCAAACTGGATTACTGCAACTCTCTACTAGCTGGGCTTCCAGCTAACTCTATCAAGCCTCTTCAACTGCTCCAGAATGCAGCAGCACGAGTTGTCTTCAATGAACCTAAACGAGCACATGTCAATCCGCTGCTAGTCCGTTTGCACTGGCTGCCAGTTGCTGCTCGCATCAAATTCAAAACTCTGATGTTTGCCTACAAAGTGACTTCTGGCCTAGCACCTTCTTATCTGCACTCACTTCTGCAGATCTATGTGCCCTCCAGAAACTTGCGTTCTGTGAATGAACGTCGCCTCGTGGTTCCATCCCAAAGAGGGAAAAAATCACTTTCGCGAACGCTCACGCTCAATCTGCCCAGTTGGTGGAATGAACTCCCTAACTGCATCAGAACAGCAGAGTCACTCGCTATTTTCAAGAAACGACTAAAAACTCAACTATTTAGTCTCCACTTCACTTCCTAAGCTGCAATTGCCTCTTTGAATATCACACTAATTGTACAAAAAAAAAAAAAAAAAAAAAAAAAAAACTACTAACACTTCCCTTCTTAGACTTTACAGACCTGAAACTTGCCTTTAGTACTTATTCATTGTTGCTCTTAGTTGTGTAAATTGCTTCCTTGTCCTCATTTGTAAGTCGCTTTGGATAAAAGCGTCTGCTAAATGACTAAATGTAAATGTAAATGTAAATGTAAGTGAAATTAGTAAATCAACACATAGGAAAATTTCAGATGGCACTTAGAAGATTTTGCATCTGAACTCTTCAAATATTTTGGGGTCTTTAAGATTTCTGGTTATAGGACTCATAAAGGGTGCATTATTTGATTAAAAAAATAATTAAAATATTTTTAAAAATTATCAAAAAATCAATTAATGGCACTAAAAGCAATAATTTCAGATGGGACTTAGAGGATTTTGTATCTGAACTCTTCAAATATTTTGGGGTCTTTAAGATTTCTGGTTTTAGGACTCATAAAGGGTGCATTATTTGATTAAAAAAAATAATTAAAATATTTTTAAAAATTATTAAAAAATCAATTAATGGCACTAAAAGCAATAATTTCAGATGGGACTTAGAGGATTTTGTATCTGAACTCTTCATATATTTTAAGGTCTGTAATATTTCTGGTTATTGGACTCATAAAGGGTGCATTTTTTGATTTCAAATAAAACAGATTTAAAAATAACTGGTTTCTATGAGAATATATTTTAAATGGGACCTATTCTTCTTTTTTTTTTTTCAAGATGTAAAATAAGTTTCTAATGTCCCTGGAGTGTATATGAGAAGATTTAGCTTAAAATATGTATAAACAAAAATGTTTTAGAACTATTCGAATTTTGAAACAGTCCTTTTTAGGCTTTGGTCCTAATTGTGCCATTTTGGTGACTGTGACTTCAAATTCAAATGATTATTTTCATCATTAAATACATGATTAAATTCTAATTGTTTTTTTCTAAAGAAGGCGGGGCTACAAATGCCTGTGTGTCAACATAGTGGTAGATTCAAAAACAAGACTTTTATCCTACGCTAATGAGGGAGAGATTGCCATAGGCTAATAGACAGGACTCTAATGACACGTACAAACGGAGAACCTCATCCAACGTGTTTCTACAGATAGTTTTTTTTTTTTGAAGTGTGATTATAAAAATATGATTAATGAATTTTTACTATTAGAAGCTGGTTATAATCACAGACCATTGGCAACTTTGTTTAAACCCCTTATAGAAGTGATTTTGGCACAATAGCCCCCCTAAAATTTTGAAATATAGAGTCTCCTATAATGTGCTGCGCAAGTAACAGTTCTTAGTGTTATCAATGTCGACAATTTTTTTTCAGATTTATTTGATCATTTTTATTTAATGGAAAACCATTATACATTTTTTGATATAGTAAATGTTCATAAGATTAAAAGGAATAGCATTCATTAGAAGTGAAATCTTTTGCAGCGTTTATTGTCGCTTATGATCACTATACTGGATCCTTGGTAAATAAAATGAAAAAACTTGCACTATGTATATTTATCATAATAAAACATTCAATACAAGTCTATTGAGAATTTAAGGATTTAATGAAATAAAGAAAAAATGAACTATTATGCCTTTAAATTACATATGAATATGCGGTATGTTATGTTGTCAATACTGAGTTTCTGTATCTTCTTGTGTGTAATCTAGGTATACAAAAGGGGAGTTGGACATTGCCTACATCACCTCACGTATTATCGGTGAGTAATGAAAATTCTGGGGTAGTGAATGATAAACCTGTTGTATTTGTAATTCCTCCAAGGTTTTTTTTTGTGCAGTTTCACATACGGATCGATTTACACACATTTGTGTACACACACTGTCCTCGCATACTCTTTTGCACCTTGAACTGTTTTGGTTGTTTTAACTTATGTAATCTTTCAGCGTTTTTATCAGTCTCATGATTTTGGTGTAAAGAGTATGTTAAAATATATTTACTTAACGTTAAGTGCATTAGAAAGTTCCCTTTAAAATAAAAATGTGCTGTTAATTTACTCCATCAAAGATCTTTTTTTTATGGTAGTTTTTTTTTTCTTCATGACTCATAATGTATGGCAGTTTTTTCCTAACAAAATTCAAATGAAAATTCAAATGCTTAAAAGATCAAATGATAAATCAAATGCTCAAACTATAAATCAAATGCTCAAACCGACATTGCAAATGATAAATCAAATCCTCAAACTGACTCTGCAAATGATAAATCAAATGCTCAAACGGACTTTGCAAATGATAAATCAAATCCTCAAACCGACTCCTCAAATGGTGAATCAAATGCTCAAACTGACATCGCAAATGATAAATCAAATCCTCAAACTGACATCGCAAATGATAAATCAAATCCTCAAACTGACATCGCAAATGATAAATCAAATCCTCAAACTGACATCGCAAATGGTGAATCAAATGCTCAAACTATAAATAAAATCCTTAAACCGACATTGCAAATGGTGAATCAAATGCTCAAACAACTCTGCAAATGGTGAATCAAATCCTTAAACGACTCCGCAATTGGTGAATCAAATGCTCAAACTGACATCGCAAATGGTGAATCAAATCCTCAAACTGACATCGCAGATGATAAATCAAATGCAAATGAGGTGTCAATCAACCAGCATAGGCGGAGCTTTAAGGCGGAAGAGTTTGTTGTTGACAACAACCGGTAGCGCTACAACTTTTTCAAGGCGTTCAGATTTGCGTGCACTATACCACGTCGTATCCGTATAAACTCGTGAAAGAGAAAGCGAGAAATCTCCTACTGCTTCTGTCCACATTCTGAAGTGTTCAACAGATGGGTACATCTATCATAGGAGGCCACGAAAAACCATACGGCAAGATGATAAAAAAAAGTTACATAACTGACGTTACAAGCGCAACTTTAAATAAATGGCAGGTTTAATAAATCTTAATTTAAATTAATATTTTATTACATAAGATATCCTTGTCAAATTTCACCTAATTTGTTGTTACCTTTATTGTGTAACATTTTTCATCCACATGTAGAACATGCTTAAAGTTAGTTTTCCAGTCTTGTTTGATTTATATAATCATATATTCTTATATTCATATATTCTTATATGATTATATAATCATATTTTCATATATTGATTTATAGTTTGAGCATTTGATTCACCATTTGCGATGTCAGTTTGAGCATTTGATTTATCATTTGAGGAGTCGGTTTGAGGATTTGATTTATCATTTGCAAAGTCCGTTTGAGCATTTGATTTATCATTTGCAGAGTCAGTTTGAGGATTTGATTTATCATTTGCAATGTCGGTTTGAGCATTTGATTTATAGTTTGAGCATTTGATTTATCATTTGATCTTTTAAGCATTTGAATTTTCATTTTAATTTTGTTAGGAAAAAACTTCCATAATAATGTGTTAAGTTAATGTCTACTGTCACTTTTAGAGTAAAAATCATATACAGGCAAATAAACTGTAATGCATACCTGTAAACACTCAAGTTTTTCGCGGGAGTCTCCTGTATTTCAGAACTTCCACCCATCTGCCGTATTGTTCTGTCTTCCGGAAAACTTCTGGAATTCCACATATGAAAATGTCCTCACTATTTATTTACTCTCAAGTTGTTCTAGAAAGTGGTTCTAGAATTTCTTTCATCTATTGAACTCAAAACAAGATATTTTTAAAAATGTTTCAACAAACATCCATTGACATCCATTGACAAATACAACAAAAATACAATGGAAGTCAATGGCTGTTTGTTTTTCTCAACATTCTTCAATATCTTCCTTTGTGCTAAACAAAAGAAAGAAGCACAAACATGTTTGGAACAAGTGGAGGATGAGTTAAAGGATTATAGAATTTTCATTTTTGGGTGAACTATGCCTTTAATGGCAATCTTTTATCTTTTTGGTGTTTGGGTTTTTAGCTATGTGCAAATAATGCAGTGTTTGTATTGGCCAAACTAAGTGTTATGATTCGTTCCTAATGGTCTTTTCATTCTGTCAGTGATGTCATATCCTGCTGAGACGGTGGAGATGGGCTACAGGAACCACACAGAGGATATCCGCTCTTTTCTGGACTCACGGCATGCTGACCACTACACTGTTTTCAACCTGTCACAGAGGAACTATCGAGGAGCCAAGTTCTCCAACAGAGTGAGTGCAATCAGCTGCATTTCCTGATACACTTGTCACATTCCAGCTCAGTTTGCAAAACAAAGCGCAAGTAGGCCTAATAGTAACAGCTTATGTTTGAAAGTGTCATAAACTGATTTTATTATTGTATTATGATTTCTGATGTTCATTTACAATGTTAGCAATATAATTAATCACAAATATAATTTAGAAGTAATAGATAATTTTTTTGTTGGTTGAAAGAAAAGCTGTTTGCAAACCAATGTAAACTTGTACTATTGAGTGTACAGTAGAGTATATGTCAGATGATCTGTAATAACAAAGCAATGGTGAGCATGTAATAAAACAGTTACTCGCACTTGTCTGGAAGGACATTACTGTTGCATTCAATGTAATGAGCAGAGATGGGCAAAAATACATTGAAATGTATTTTAAAATAAAATACTTAATACCTCAGTTTTACACGTATCAAATAAATTACAACATACAGCAGCCAACAAGTATCAAAATAAAATACTGTATTTTGTATTTTGAAAATACTACAAAATACTTTTACAAGGGAACATGAAACCTTCCATCTGTTGGCCTATTTGATCAATCCCTTCATCATTAAACTGACTCTGTGAAATAAACAATGTTTGACAGCAGCAGCGTTTCTCAGAGCAAGTTTAATTCAGCTTCTGAAGCTTCTCATGAGCTCTTTAATTACTTTAAAAAACATATAATGCAGATAATGAGTTGGAATATAGTACTATATCTTTTCATTGTGTTTCCATCCATTGGGTGGTTAGTGAAATTGACACCACCTTTTAACAGTCTTACTTTTTTTAAAGTGAGATATATTCATTCATTCATGAATGTCCCTTATTTATCAGGGGTTGACGCAGCAGAATAAACCACCAACTATTCCAGCATATGTTTTATGCAGCGGATGCCCTTCCAGCCGCAACCCTGTACTGGGAAACACCCATACACACTCATTCACCCACACACTCATACACTACGACCAATTTAGTTCATTATATTCACTTATACCGCATGTGTTTGGACTTGTGGGGGAAACCGGAGCACCCAGAGGAAACCCACGCCAAAACCGGTAGAATATTCAAACTCCACACAGAAATGCCAACTGACGCAGCTGAGGCTCGAACCAACAACCTTCTAGCTGTGAGGTGTCCACTGAGCCTCCGTGCCATTAGGGTGATACTGTATATGAAGAGGTTGTTTAATTATTTTTTTTAAGTAGAATTTAGGTTGTTTTTTTGCAATTGAAATCTTCAATACTTAATTTAAAAAGATGATTTCTGAAAGTTTTAGTTTTAGTAATTTTTATAAATCATGTTTTTGCTGTTGTACTCTTCAATACAAAATATATTATCTTCAAAATGGAGTAATCAGTTTTTGCAAATAAACTCTTCATAGACAGACATCTTTCCTCTTCATTAACTATAAAGCGCACCTGCGGATCAGCTACTGGCATTTAAAACTGCCAATGAAGTATTGTAAGAATACTGTAGGACTTATTTATGTTGTTTGTCTTCTTGTCATGGCATCTACATCAACAATCCATCTAAAACTTTTACTATTTGTGCAGTTTACTCATTCCCCCTAGAGTTTTTCAGATCTTCTTTAACTGAAAGAGTCTCAGTTTGCCTGTTGAACACCAGTACAGTATCTTTAGGTGTTTTTATATTTCTAAACGTCATTTACATGTCCACCTGCAGCACTGAGACTGAGAATGATGATATGCCATAGGCTCCATATTCTTGTTTTTGGACTGATAATTTATTCCATCTCATTTTTAAAACATTTTGATGCATTTTTAAAACAAGATGCTAATGCATTGTACACTATACTGCTATTAAATATTACTGTTTTTAGCATTGTGGAGTATACTATTTTCAATGACTGTGGACTTGCTCTCAAACATACCCATGCCATTTGTTTGTTGTTATTTTTTTATGTGTGTTGAATATTTTCATCCATACTTCAAGCATTGACCACCTTCTTCAATATTAATCAGTTTTCTGGTCTGATCTCAAGCTTAGGCAAATAACTAAGAAAGCATCAATCAGAGGCCACAATTTTAGGTATCATTTTGTAGACTTCTTACAAATTATTTTACAGTATTTTAAATTACAAAAATACGAGACACCAAAGCATGTTGATACAAAATATTAAGCCATTTTAATAAACCATATAAAATACACATTACAAAATACTATTTTGTATTTGAAATGCGTATTTTAAATACTTGTATCATACATACTACCCACCCCTGGTAATAAGCACAGCATTATCTTCAATTGTCTGATAAACCAAGCATCAGATTGTGCATTGTTGGTAAATAAATTTGTGGTAAAATAAAGTGACCAAAGAGCCAGTTCTTCATCACTTGGTCTGAAACATGATTAAATATCTGAAACATAGCAATACAAAGACTGTTAACCTGCCATTTTGGCAGACTGGCTTCAGTATAAGCTGTTTTAGGCTCATGAGAAAGTAAAAAATGTTTACAATGTCAAAAGATCAAGGGAATTATCATGTTTCAGTTTATGACCTTGAAGCATTTATAAAGATGTCCGTCTTGTCTTTGGTTGTGTCTAAATTTAAAAATTGTACAAGATGTATGTGTGTGCAACATAAAAAAAGAAAGACGTAAAGTCACTTTACATTTGATACAATCCCAGCTTTAATTTTACATTTAGGTCTTTGTATAAAAAGGTTTCTCAATCATTGCTCACTGAACTGTCAAAACATTATCATAAACAACATCTGGGTTTTTTTCTCTAGATGCACAAACCATTTTATTATGCCAAGGCTTACTTGCATATAATTCCATGTGCATTTTTTACAAATTATGTAACAATATGCTGCATTTAACAATGAAATGTAGGTAAACAGATTGTATGTAAATGATGTTTGTGCCAATATAAGAAAATACTGCAAAAATCCTTGCTGTCAACAGCCTGTTAATTAGTGGAGAATCCTTAAAACAATGCATTTAAATATGAGAGAATTTTAGGGGGATTAAAGGACTAGTTCAACTTGACATTTACTCATCCTCATGTTATTCTAAACCCAAAAAGACAATTCTGTTTTAAATAAAATCAGAGAATTTTTTGTATCTTCATTTAAAATCTGCTCACCCAAAACTCGCATGCCTAAATAAATCTGTTTATCATATAAAGAAATCATTTCTCATCTGAAGTCTCAGATCAAACCGCTCAATTCATATGGGTTTATTATGTGATCTCTTCATGAATTGTATCTGGTTGAATAAACTTTCAGTAGAAGGACAGAAATTTTATTAAAACTACATTTCAGATTTCATTAAAAATATCTTCATTTGCAATCTAAAGATGAACAGTTTTTTATGAGGTTGAGTAAAAGGTTTACTTTGTCCTGAATCAACTTTTTCAGCTCTTAACTTTTTCATCTCCTAAATGATTGTAGCTTTAATGTAACTGTTTTTCTCATCATGAAATTTTTGTTGATGTTAAAACATAAAATGTCATGGGAAAAGTAAAAAAAAAAACAGTCATAAATCAGTCATGTAGAATGTTTATCCGTTGGGTCCCAGATGCCTCACTAAGAAGAGGAAAAGCTACAAGATGTATTTTCACCCATAGCATTGACTGTTCAGACTGTAGTTTAGAACTAAATCATCATAGTAATGGCTACTGCAATAATACTGTATAGTGCTAAGTGATATAAAATATGACTTAAATGGATTAAGAGGTGCTTTAGCCTTAGTAATTGTGCTCTGGGGTACAGAAGAATGTTTGGGAACTACTCACTTACTTACGGTACAAGACTTATTTCTCACCAGAAATGATACTGATGACTTTGCTGACTCTTCTGGCATTTTGCATTAAATATTAAACAGTGCTTTTCTCATTTTCTCATTCTCATTTTCCACAGCTTAAGAATATCTAGCTCATTTTATTCAATTATTTTTTGCTAATGAAAAAAATTGCAACAACTTGATGTATTATTAACATTGAAGGGATGGCTTTATCATAAATAATACATGTGATATTTGATGACTTTTGATGTTTTGTTCTTACACAGATGCCATACTGCTGTAGGAATATTTTACTTATTTACCTTAATTTTCATAATTTTTTTTTTTATTTATGATTAGTGAAATCTTTATTTGTTTTGTATATTTGCCTTATTAAGTTTTCAGTGTCTTTACTCTCTCAGTGAGCATCTTGTCATTCATCTGTAGGTTTCTGAATGCAATTGGCCGTCCAGACAGGCTCCAAGTCTTCACAACCTATTTGCCGTGTGTAAGAATATGTACAACTGGCTCAAGCAAAACCCCAAGAATGTGTGTGTAATCACCTGTTCGGTAAGAAGATCTTTTGATGTTGTTCACGCAGCATTAAACAGCCATGACTTCATAAACCAGATTTATTATTCACATTTCCAGCAGGTTATTTTCAAGTTCAGGGTTTAAAAGGAGAGTTCACTTAAAAATGGAAATTCAAAGTTTTTCCAAACATAAGAAGATCTTTTGGAGAATCTTGGTAACTAGTCAGTGATATGATATGACTCCCATATCATTGTTTTTCCTACTATGAAATCAGTTAACTCATTGGTTACAAACATTTTTCAAAATATCTTCTTTTTTGCTCAACAGGAGAAAGAAACTCAGGTTTGGAACAACTAGATAGGGAGTACGCTCAAAAAATATTTTTGCTGCTTGTTCAAGCTACTTATTTAAAATGAGCTGAATCAACACAATTTTTGAGTTTTTTTGCAAAGACAACTTAATTGTTTTGAGTTTAGTCCACTTAAATTTGTAAAAACAATTAAGTTAACCTAACTCTTAAAGACCGAAACAGCCGCCCACGGCTAAAAATAATTGTTCTTAAATGTTCAATAACTTTTGATCCGCTGATCCGATCCGTATAATTCAAAGATTGGCAAAAGAAAGAGATGGAAATATTTCTAAAGAAAAAAAACTTCATAAGGTTTTGTTTTTAATAACTAAAAAATGCCACTTTAAAAAAAAAAAAAAAAAAAAAAAACGTTTTCCTTAAAATTCTGGAATATTTTCTGTCTGTTCATATGTTTTTGGGCCAAAAAATATTTTAGACTGGACCTTTAAATGATACAGATTGAAGCTTCAGGTTCTCCTGTTTAAAATAATATATGACACTTGAGTCTGACTGATAAAAAAAACAATAAAACTGCTTTTAAGAAAAAATAATCATATAGGCCCATTAGGTGCCCACAAAATACCTCTTTAAGGGTTAATAGATTTGTGTTGGGACAACATGAAGGAATTGTGTGGAACCCAGCCTTATTTACAGTGTACATTTTCATTTTGCGGTGAATTATCTTTTGAGTTTCTTGAGGCTAATAATGACATAAAAACTCTAAATTTGGTCTCATCAGACCACATGATTTGTTTCCAGTCTAATTTTTATGCTTCCTAGAAAACTGAACCCTTTATTTCTGATTAGCCTCACTGATAAGCATCTACACAGCTGTTTACTCCCAATCCCTTGAGTTCTTTTCAACTTGTATGTGTGGAAATGCTCCTACTTTTACCAATAAACATTACTTGAAGTTTAGCTGTTGAAGTCTTTTGAATTGAATTCATCCAACATGTGACCGTCTGTGACCTCTTGCTTGATGCAGGCCAGTAATTTGACACTTCTGAAACAGAACTTTTTTTTTTCCATGACCACAGGATGTGTCTTCTGACATGGTTGTTTAGAAAATAAGAAGCTGCTCATTGCAACAGTTAGAGTTCAATAAATTGTTGTCGGCTTAATCAAATGAATCTCTGCTTTAATTACCAAGTGGAATGCTATCACCTTTTAGCATTGCTAAATTCAAGTGCTGACTGTTGTTGGCCAGGTAATCTCTGTGTTTGCTTATATTTTATTGTTATTGTTGCATTCTATATTTAAATTTTTTCATCATGACTTTTTTTCAATGATTTATTAATATTATATGGAAGAATAAACATGCTAATGAAGTATATTAAATTGAAATAGTTTTTATGCTTATTTATTTATATGTTTAAATACTTAAAATGTGTGAGAATTTTTCAGATTGTTTTCTTAAAATGTTATTAACATTTATTAACATGATTAAGTATTTATCAGTAATATAATATAATATAATATAATATAATATAATATGAATAAAAAATAAATAAGATTCTGCCTTTTCAGATCTCTTGTAACACTTGTTTGCTCTTTCAGGATGGCAGAGCTCCTTCAGGCGTGCTGGTCTGTGCCATGTTCTGTTTCTGCCATCTTTTCGCCAACCCGGTGCCAGCCATGCAGCTTCTCAGCGCCAAGAGGCCTGGATCTGGCCTGTGGCCCTCCCATAGGAGGTACAAGCAATCAGACCACAGCTCTGAAAAAGTGTAGCTTTGATCAAAAAAATAACAAATGGGTGAAGAGCTATTGAACAGTAAACTCAACAAATAATTCAAGCAACTGGTAACTGTACACAAGTGTAATATACAGTCTTCCTGAATTATTAGCCTCCCTGTATTTTTCCCACTTTCTGTTTAATAGTAAGAAGATATTTTTCAACACATTTCTAAACATAATAGTTTGACTTAATAATTTCTAATGACTGATTTATTTTATCTTTTGCCATGATGACAGTGTATAATATTTTACTAGGTATTTTTCAAGATACTAGTATTCAGCTTGAAGTGACATTTAAAGGCTTAATTAGGTTAATTAGGCAAAGGGTTAATTAGGCTATTAGGCTAATTAAGCATGTCAAAAATAGTGTATATTGCTTAATAAAATTAACCTTAATTTTTTTTAATTAAAAATTGCTTTCATTCTAGCTGTAATAAAACAATTAGGACTTTCTCTAAAAGAAAAACATATTATAGGAAATACTGTGGAATATTTGTAACTCATTTTGGAAATATTTGAAAAAAGAAAAAAAAATCACAGGAGGGCTAGTAATTTTGACCTTAACTTTGTATATAGTACATTTTTGTACTGACATTCTTGTTTGTGTGTGTGTGTTTTTTTTTCCAGGTACATAGGTTATGTATGCAGTTTAGTCTCAGAGAAGCCCACCGTACCCCACTCCAAACCACTAGTTATTAAAACTGTCACAATCAGTCCTGTTCCCTGCTTCAACAAACAGCGCAGTGGCTGTCGGCCATTTTGTGATGTACTAATTGGTGAGACCAAGATATTTTCTACAGCTCAGGAGTACGAGAGAATGAGGTAGGCATGATGTTATATATTAAAAGCATAGTTGAAATTATATGAAATGAATGGATATATATTCCCTAGGATTGCACCAACATCAAGATTTTGCCTGATACCAATAAACATTAATTCTTTATATTTGAACTATATTTGATTTGACAAAAATCAGGGCACATTTACAAAAAGCAATTTTTAGGTCCTCTTTTTTTTATGGATATCATAGTGTTTCATTAGTCGGTTATCCAGTTATCTTTTTTATAAGTCAGAAGAACAGGGTTAAACAAAAATAAATTATTTAATCATTTATAAACACTTATTTAAATCTGAAAGCTATTAAACTAAATTGTCCTCCTGACAGGAAGTTGAATTGGAGTTTGAAAGGGAATAAAGTACAAATTGCTGAATTGAAATTTAAAGTAATTCAAGGTTTCGATCTTAAAGGTTTACAATAAGGGTAACCAACCCTGTTCCTGGAGATCTACCTTCCTGCAGATTTCAGCTCCAACGCTGATCAAACACACCTGTATGAATTAATTAGAACTTGAACAGCACTTGATAATTACAGACAGGTGTGTTTAATATGGGTTGCAACTGAAATCTGCAGGAAAGTGGATCTCCAGGAACAGGGATGGTCACCCACAATATGTTGTTTGGATCTATTTTTTTTTTTTTTGAATAAAAAAAATAATATTAATAAAGATGAATTAATAATATAATCTAATTATTTTCCCATATATTGCTTGTTTGCTGAACATTCAATATTATAATAGTTGAATATAGCTTTATCCTTTATAACATTTGTTTTATTTATTGGTGTAATGGTGTTGTAATGTACTGTGTGTGCATGTTGGTCTCAGAGAACACAGGATTCAGGAGGGCAAAGTGGTGTTTCCTGTGGGAGTGAGCGCACAAGGAGACGTGGTGATTTCAGTCTATCACATGCGCTCTCATGCACTTCAGGCCAAGGTATGAGACTGATTACTTTAAATCTAGAAAATGATGTCAGATGTAGCTGTAGCGACTGAATGTTTGCTACATTAGTTTTTTGGCAATGAGTTCAACGCTGTGTTGTTTTGCAGGTAACAAACACCCAGATATTCCAGATTCAGTTCCACACTGGTTTCATTGCCCCTGGCAGCACAGTCTTGAAGTTTATGAAGTAAGTGTTTCTTTTCCACCCCTTTCATAATCGTTGCACTGAAATGGTGGAATATGTGAGACAGATCGTCTAAAAGATTTAAGCAGAAGCTCAATCTGGGCATCATCTGCAAAACAGTGGTAACCCAGACCATACTTTTGAATGATCTGCCCAACAGGCAACACACAAATAATAAAAAGAGTAGGACCCAATACAGACCCCTGAGGGACATCCCACTGCAATGGAATTGTTTAAGATCTTTTTGCACCAGAATAGACAAATTGCTTGCTTTCCGAAAGATATGATTCAATCCAGTTTAAGGCTAAACCAGAAAAACCAATCCACTTTTGCCATCTGTCCAGAAGTAGAGTGACAAATGGTATGAATGCGGCACTAAGATCTAACAAAACCAAAATGCCACAAGCCCCAGAATCTGCTGCAACTATAAGATCATTTATTACCCTTAACAGGGCAGTCAGTATTGATTAATAGACTACATGGTTATTTAAATGGCAAAAAAAAAGTAGCCATGAAAATAAAATAACTAAATTAAATTTTCAGTTTCCAGTTTTAGTTTCCTTTTTCCTTTCAGTTTCTGCTTTTTTTGTCACTCAAAACATCACAATAAATTGTAATGCAGAACAAAATGATGTTGCATCAGACCCAACAAAAACATAAAAAACATCAAACACATATAATCAACTAACTAAATAAAACAGCTTTTATAACTTCATAAATATATAAAAATACAGTTATAAAAAATATAACCCAATTTTAAAATCACAGAAGGAAATTAATTAATACTTAAGTAACTATTGCACAGTTTGTTATAATAGTTATAATATTAACATATTGTTCTCATTAAACTATTTATTGAAGTTTATAGTAATATTTAAGATTTGATATTATTTAAAAGTCTTATAATGACAGGATAAAAACTATCATGAAACCACGCTGATTTGCTTCTCTGGCTTCTGTAACGCTGATGGCATGAACGTGAGCAGACTTTGGCCAGGGTGGGTTGGATCCCTTAAAATGCTATTTGCTCTAGACTGAGAGCGTTGTTGATACAGCTCCTCGATAGATGTCATTTTGACTCCAACGGACCTTTCAGCTGATTTTATTTTCTTCTTAATGGTGTTCTTGTCAGATACACTGCTATTCTCATACTAAAGAGAAATGCCATTAGTGAAGCCTCAAGAGCTTCTCTGTGAAAAGTTGTAAGGATTGATGGGCTGAGGTGTGCTCTTTTTAACCTTCTCAGAAAGTGCAGCTGTTGGTTCGCTTTCTTTGCAAGACAAGTAGTATTAAGAGACCAGGTCAAGTTCTCAGTAACGTGGACCCCCAGGATTTTTACCTGCTGTACAGTCTCTACTGCAGTGTTGTTAATATATACAGGGGAGTAAGAGGGGCGTTCACCAACTCCTTGGTTTTTTTGTTGTTGTCGCTGCACAACAATGTAGCTGAAATAAAATATCTTTAAATAATAAATAAAACATCAAGTGTTTGCCAAAAAATCTCATTATCTTAATGATGCTAAAATGAGAGTAAACTAGAGCTGCACAGCATATATGAACTTTTATTTATAATAAAAATATATAATTTCCACTGCAAGATATTTTAATTGTGCTGCAAAATGGTGATTTGATATGATTAAAATAATTACAAATTTTAAAGTTGGCAATGTAAACGTATGTCAAATTGCATTCTGAACAATTCAATTTATGCTTTTCTTATCAAATTAACTTTTCAATGTAACCTCAAAAACTCAAAAAAGACCAATTTCACCACCCTACATCTTATATTTTTTAATCATTTACACTTGGATGTACAACACAAGTACCATAGATAATATCCTTGAGAATACTCTCTGAGAGAAGATACTAGGGAATACTTTCATTGCATTCAATCATTTAAAATATGATGCAACTAAAAATAAAGAACATATTTGTTTTTTTTTTAAGTCTGTGTGTATGTGTTTGTCCAGGACAGAGCTGGATGCCTGTGATTCTCCAGAGAAATACCCACAGCTGTTTCATGTGCTGATAGATATCGAGGTTGAAAGCACGGAGAAACAGAAAGATCTCACTCCACCATGGGAACAGTTTCCCACCAAAGACCTGAGCCCCAATGTGCTCTTCTCCTGCCATCAGGAACACCAGGATGCACTTGCTATTGCAGGTACAGTACAAACACACACTTTATAATCTTTATAGGCAAGGCAAGTTTTTTCTATAGCACATTTCACACACAATAGTTATCCAAAGTGCTTTACATAAACAGGAGTAAAAAAAGACAAGTATAAGAAAATAAAAATAAATAATAAAAGTGATTAAAAACAGAATAAAATGTGTTAAAACAGGTTCTAAAAGAATGAAAAAGAAAAAAAAAGATATAATGGTGTGATCTGTCAGACGTAGCACAGTGCTCACTCAGTAAAGGCACAGCTAAACAGATGTGTTTTAATGCAACACTATAAAATATATATAAATAACACGCAAAAATTATAAACAAATGTTTTTGGCTTTTAATATTTTAATGCAAGTTCTTTGGCTGAGAGCATTAGAGTTAGAGCTGAAATTTTGTTCACATTACATTAGAGCTGCACAATATATCATTTCAGCATCGATATCTCAATAACGATTGAATCCATAAAAAAAAAAAATTAAATTAAATAAACAAAAAATCTGGATTGTAGTTGACCAGATATTATGTGGTATAGGTGAATTGGGTAAGCCAAATTGTCCATAGTGTATGTATGTGTGCGAATGAGTGTGTATGGGTTTCCCAGTTATGGATTATGGCTGGAAGGGCATCCGCTGCGTAAAACATATGCTGTATAAGTTGGCGGTTCATTCCGCTGTGGCGACCTCAGATTAAGGAAGGGACTAAGCCGAAAAGAAAATTGATGAATGAATTATTTCTGTTCCACAATACTCTTACTCCCCAGAAAATCATAAAAAGTCGTTTATTTCATTTGTATCTTTGCTCTGTTGTGTTTAACTTTGCTTGTTGTTTATTAAGTTTATTTTATGCACATACAAAATCATCTCAATCATTCTAAAACTATGAATTCTTTACAAATAGAGCTATTCAAATCATCTGGTGCAATTGTACTCATATCACAGTATATATCGTAGTAAAATGTTGCAATGTCAGTCTTTTTCCAATATAGTGCAGCCCTAAATTACAATCATGATGATTTTGCTTACAGTATCAAAAGTAAATCAACATTGTGGATAATCATAATGACTTCAGTGCTTTTATTTGGCCTTTAAGTTCTTAATATTTTATATCAACTCTTCTATCACATTAAAAAATATTAAGTATATTGCATATCTTAAGTAGACTAGAGGGTTTTATGGTAGACAAACATGCATTTATTTGATTGAATTAAATATGAAATTATTTTTACACATTATTTATACCTCAATATAATTGTAATGCATTTTCAGCAGACATGACTTTTTTTAAAATTATTTTTTAGGTTTTTTTCACCTTTATTGTATAGGACAGTAGAGAATATTGACAGAAAAGCATGGGGAGCAGAGAGAGGGGAAGTATCGGCATAGGACTGTGAGGTCAGGAATCGAACTCTGGTTGTGTTGACGGACTAACCACTACACCACTGGCGCCGACATTAGTTTACATCACAATAAAATTGTGAGCCTGAATATGCAAACTTTAGAAGGGAATCAAAGTGTACACTTTATAAAACTAAACTGCTGTCAACTGCTTTTAACAGTATAAACTCCAGAATCACAAATGTGTGTAAACTATGCTTTCATGTGCTTTAAATGTTCAATCTACAGGCCTTATTATCAGAAAGTAAGCACAGTTGCTGGTTTCATGCCACTTTAGTATGAGAAACACATTCAGTATTAACTGATGTTTTAGTTTGCCTCAAACTGTTCATTTACTACTTATTGATACATAGTAAACCAGATTTAAACTTTTTTTTTGCAGTTAGGCCACATAAAAGCACTGAAATCATTGTGATATCCACAAAGTTAACATCTGATAAATTAAAGTATAGAATCAAGGGATGTGCAATAGGGTCATGCTAAGATACTTATAAACAACAAGGATGCAAGCTAATAAGCAACTAGTTGTCCCCATACTGAAGTGTTACCCAGTGTTTTCATATGACCAATGGTGACATGATGGTCTAGTGGATTTTAGTCTCCAAGCATATGCTCAGTAGTTTGTCCCCCAGTGAATCTTTGAACAAGTCAACTCATCAGTCATTTGCTGGCAGTCTGTAGAGTATTTGTGCTTAATTAAACTAAACACCATCTGTTTAATGTACTTTATTCTCTGCCTGGAAGATGAAATGGAGGGCTTGGACTTGGAAGGTAAGATGTAGAGTTGGAGGCTCCTGAGAGTCAACAGTACATGGTTGATTAATAGATTTAAAGTGTATGTAGACAATTTGATTAGTGCTGTAATTTTCAGAACATATGTCACATTTATTTTCTTCTCCATATGTATAGTGTCTAATATAGTGCAATTAACATCAAGCATGTAAAATATGCACAAAATAGAGATAATTTAGATAAAGAGACAAGTGAGTATTTGTAAAGAACATTTGCCACAAAATTTGCTTAGGCTTGATGTGTATTGCAAGTATTGTTTATAGTGTATGTCACAATGATTTCTTGTTTGTTTATATATATATATATATATATATATATATATATATATATATATATATTTTTTTTTTCTATTTTGAATACTGGCGATGCGGGGGCGCAGTAGGTAGTGCTGTCGCCTCACAGCAAGAAGGTCACTGGTTCGAGCCTCGGCTGGGTCAGTTGGCATTTCTGTGTGGAGTTTCCATGTTCTCCCCTTATTCGCGTGGGTTTTCTCCGGGTCCTCCGGTTTCCCTCATAGTCCAAAGACGTGGTATAAGTGTATTGGGTAGGCTAATTTGTCTGTAGTGTATGCGTGTAAATCAGTTTGTATGGGTGTTTCCCAGTGATGGCTTGTGGCTGGAAGGGCATCCGCTGCGTAAAGCATTTGCTGGATAAGTTGGCGATAAGTTGGTTCATTCCGCTGTGGCGACCCCAGATTAATAAAGGGACTAAGCCGAAAAGAAAATGAATGAATGAATAAATTCATTTTTAAATACTGAGGGGACGTAAAATACCAGTTTATAATATTTATAAATGTTTGGTTTCATTTAGGACTATGGGTGGCCTATTTTACATTGTCTAAATAAAATATTAAAATATGACTTATAAATCAATGCAACTTGTTGTTGTTGTTTTTATTCTTCAGTGCTTTTTCCATTCAACTAATTTAAGCACATTTTAAGACATTCCATTATTCACTATTCACATTCCATTATACATATCCGAATTCTGGACGGAAGTGACAAGATGTTCATAAACAAAACAAAATTGCATTTAAAAAACTTGGTAAAAACTGTTATGACAGTGATTTAAATGCAAATTTTTTAGAAAGTGATGATTTTTTTCTCTTTAACACAAGGGGTTGAGACAACGCTTTATTCAGAGATGTTTTATATATTTTTTATGAACAAAAGTTTGCAAGTTCAGATAAAAAATTTATAGTAAATTGTGACACATTTTCTGGAAAATACAGTAATTGAATAGTATGAGACCTTAGTATTAGTGAATTTAAAAGGTACAGTGTGATATCACTAGGCTTCACTAGTAAAAACATTTCAGAATATTTAGAAAACCGCTCCTAAGTTGTATAGACACGTTTGATGTTGTTTTATTAACAAAACCTTTTCTCCGGTCTGTCCCTTAGATCCCGCTCAGGGCCATAGCAGTTGCGGAGGCAGAGTGGGGCCGAATGAAGAGAGCGAACCATCTGATGATGAGATGCTGTCCCTTTCTAGCCAGCAGAGCAACGCGAGTAATGAGAAATCAAAAGCAGCTAAAAGGCCAGAGCCGCAGGCCGCAGCGCCGCCTCCTCCAGCAGCTGAGGAAGTGGATCTTCTGGGTCTGGATGGAGACGCTGCTAAAATTCCTCCATCCTCCCCTCAACCCCCAGCCAACAACACTACCACAGACCTGCTGGGGGATCTGTTTGGAGCTCCACCAACACCACAGCCAGCCAGCTGTCCAGGCTCTGCTCAGTCCACGCCGCGGAGATCCGCACAGTCCTCCTCACCCGGACCTTCACCCCGATCTGGAAACAGTGAGTGTGCTTTATGGTTCAGTAACAGAGATGGACAGCTGAACTCATTTAGCTGAGATGTTTGTCAGGAGTCAGTGGAGTGAAGCAGCATCTTGATTTGAATGATGGAATTATTCATTTGAATGGGATTTATTTGATTTATTCCATAACATTATTACTGTAAAGTTTGGACTGACAAAGAGCTAGGATGAGAAGAGGTAGTTTCAGAAGTGTAAGTTCAGTTTATTTTAAAAAGAGAGTGTAATACAAAAAGGGCAAAAACACACAGAAGCAGGGAAAACAGCTTTATAAAAGTAAAGACTATGCTGCAAAAAAGTCAGCCACTGCCATCAGTTTTGATTATTTTTTTACCCAAATTTGACAGGGATTTCTCACTGAGTCTATCAACCTGACTGGCCTGTTCAGCTGTACCTGTGCTTGTCAATGGCAGGGTAGCCTTGTCTTTCTATTGACTTTCTTATTAGTTGAGGAGTAAGAGTTAATAGGTTAACTGATGGGCTAAACAGCGCATCGGCTAAAACACTGGAAGTAAAATGAAATGGGAACAAACAAAAACAATGATCTGACAATACAGTATTAATATCCATATATCATATATACATGTGCACATTCAAAGATTACCAAAAGGTTAATGTTTGTACCCAAACTGCATTGATTTCTAAATCCCAGTATGCTGGTGGTGGAACTGGGTCTTGGGTCCGTCATTAATGGTGCTTGTAGCTATATTGTTTTTCCATTCAAAAGTTTTTTTTACTAATAAAGTCTAATATTTACTGCTTACTAATAATATTTATTACTCATGAAGTAATTATTATTATTTAGCAGACACTTCATTGAACCAATTAGTTTTTTTTATTTTTTATTTGATCTATTCTTTTGAACTTTAAAGTAATTAATAATAACTCCACATAACTGCTTATTATAACTCATATTTTTTATTTGAAATATTACTGTACCTAAAAGCACATGCATGCATACTTTTAACATTTTGCTTTTGTAAATTTTAGCAAATTGATTGATTGCTATATATTTTTTATTTACATATTGTATTTGGGGCAAATTTGTGACAAATTAACATAGCAATGTGTGAATATTTGACTAAACTACTGGATCTGTCTTAAAAATGTGCATTTCAGCTAAGATTCTGAATACTTTCTTTAACTCTTCAGCTTTCGACCCGTTCGGGTCTGGGCCCGCTCCTGCCCCTAAGCCACAGGATTTCATGGGTGCGTTCCTGGGTCCAGGTAATATGGGGCAGCCAGACCCCTTCCTGCATGCTGCACGATCTCCGTCTCCTACAATGCAGAACATGGGCATGGGTAAGGCATGCGCATTTGTCTCTCTGTACTGCCAGTGTGTGGGCAACATCACCATAACAACCAGCAAAGCTCTTTTGTGTTCAAATCCTTTAGAGTATTATCATCAAAACAGCCTTGCAGATTCATCTCTAACAACAGCTCTGTTGTAAATATAATTAAAGTGCTGATATTTTAGAGAAAGTGGAATTGTTATTATTAGATTATTATTTGATTTATGTACAGTGTGTGTGATTAATAGCATCATAAGCACAGTTAAATCCTGTAATGTGTATGTGGGAATATTTAAGGCAACATTTGACATTGTTTTTAGTCATAAATGCTGCAGGTTGGTGAAAGACTGTCTTGGATGTAGCGTTAATTGTAGCTTGCATGCTTTATGTAATCTGCATGTGATTTTATTCTCTTTTTTTTTTTACATAATAATATGATTTTGAAATTGGCTAAAAAGTTTGTGTTTCTCTGAATGCCTTGCAGCCGCTATACAATAATGAAAAGTGCTGCTATTTTTTTATTTAGAATTGTAGTGTTTTTCAAGCAGTCTGCAGAGTTGAAAAAAGTACTGCATGATGCCAAATACTGCCGAGCAGATTGCAATGTACGGTTACTCAGAGCCTTGCATTGAAGCTACTGAAACTGAGAAAAATATAATACATAATAATGCTTCAAAATGTTTTTATTATCCCTTACAGTCTCATTCATTTACATTTTACATTTAGTCATTTAGCAGACGCTTTTATCCAAAGCGACTTACAAATGAGGACAAGGAAGCAATTTACACAACTATAAGAGCAACAATGAATAAGTACTAAAGGCAAGTTTCAGGTCTGTAAAGTCTAAGAAGGGAAGTGTTAGTAGTTTTTTTTTTTTTTTTTTTGTACAGTTAGTTAGTGTGATATTCAAAGAGGCAATTAGGAAGTGAAGTGGAGACTAAATAGTTGAGTTTTTAGTCGTTTCTTGAAAATAGCGAGTGACTCTGCTGTTCTGATGCAGTTAGGGAGTTCATTCCACCAACTGGGCAGATTGAGCGTGAGCGTTCACGAAAGTGATTTTTTCCCTCTTTGGGATGGAACCACGAGGCGACGTTCATTCACAGAACGCAAGTTTCTGGAGGGCACATAGATCTGCAGAAGTGAGTGCAGATAAGAAGGTGCTAGGCCAGAAGTCACTTTGTAGGCAAACATCAGAGTTTTGAATTTGATGCGAGCAGCAACTGGCAGCCAGTGCAAACGGACTAGCAGCGGAGTGACATGTGCTCGTTTAGGTTCATTGAAGACAACTCGTGCTGCTGCATTCTGGAGCAGTTGAAGAGGCTTGATAGAGTTAGCTGGAAGCCCAGCTAGTAGAGAGTTGCAGTAATCCAGTTTGGAGAGAACAAGAGCTTGAACAAGGAGTTGAGCTGCATGTTCAGATAAGAAGGGTCGGATCTTTCTGATGTTATAGAGTGCAAATCTGCACGATCGAGCAGTTCTAGAAATGTGGTCAGAGAAGTTTAGTTGGTCATCAATCGTTACTCCAAGGCTTTTCACCATTTTGGATGCAGTAATGGTTGCCCCATCCATCTGGATTGAAAAGTTATGGTGTAGAGTCGGGTTGGCAGAAACTACAAGCATTTCCGTTTTTGCGAGGTTCAGCTGAAGATGATGATCTTTCATCCAGTGTGAAATATCCAACAGGCAGGCTGAGATACGAGCTGGAACCGAGGGGTCATCAGAATGAAAAGAGAGGTATAGCTGGGTATCATCAGCATAGCAGTGGTAGGAGAATCCATGTCTCTGGATGACTGGTCCTAGAGATGATGTGTAGATGGAGAAGAGAAGTGGCCCAAGAACAGAGCCTTGAGGTACCCCAGTGTTTAGATGCTGTAGGTTGGACACCTCTCCCCTCCAAGACACCCTGAATGACCTGTCAGAGAGGTAAGATCTGAACCATTGTATAACAGTGCCCGCAACGCCCAGTGACTCAAGCGTAGATAGCAGGATCTGGTGGTTGACAGTGTCAAAAGCAGCTGACAAGTCCAGCAAAATGAGGACTGATGATTTAGAGTCTGCTTTAGCCAGTCTGAGATCCTCCACGACCGAGAGCAGGGCAGTCTCAGTTGAGTGGCCTTTCTTAAAGCCGGATTGCTTGTTGTCCATGAGATTGTTTTGAGTAAGAAAGTCCAGGACTTGATTGAACACTACTTTCTCCAGAATCTTGGCCATGAATGGAAGCAGGGATACTGGTCTGTAGTTTTCAAGTAGCGTATGGTCCAGGTTGGGTTTCTTTAGCAGTGGGGTTACCCTAGCCTGCTTAAATGTAGTGGGGAATAAACCAGAGTCAAGAGATGTGTTAATTATGTGAGTCAGTGTTGGTATGACTGCAGGAGAGATGGCTTGCAAGAGATGAGAGGGAATGGGATCGAGTGGACAGGTGGTTGCATGGCTAGATAGCACAAGTTTGGACACCTCAGACTCAGAGAGCTGAGAAAAAGAGGTGAGTGTGTTGGTGTTGTATCTTGCGTGTTTGTTGTAGGTGCAGCAAATTGAGCACTGATTTTTGCAGTTTTGGTGCAGAAGAATGTAGCAAAGTCATCAGTAGTAAGTGTGGAGGATGCGGGTGGAGGAGGAGGATAGAGGAGGGAGGAAAATGTTTTAAAAAGTAGGCGAGGATTAGTGGCATTGTTGATTTTCAGACGGTAATACGTCTGCTTTGCAGAAGTAACCTCTGCTGAGAAAGAGGACAGAAGAGTTTGGTATGTTAAGAGATGTGCAGGATTTTTAGTTTTCCGCCAAATTCTCTCCGCAGCCCGAAGTTTTGAGCGATGCCCACGGAGAGCATCCGAGAGCCAGGGTGCAGGAGGACTGGCACGGGCTGGCCTGGATGCAAGAGGACATAATCGGTCTAGACATGATGCTAGTGTGGAGCAGAGTGTATTAGTGGCACTGTTCGAATCAAGTGCAGAGAGTTTGCAAGATGAAGGAAGAGAGTCTGAAACAATGGTGGATAGTCTATTGGGTGAGAGAGATCGTAGGTTTCTGCGAAAGGTAACCAGTGTTGGAGTGTGTGGCGGCTCAGGAGTAATGTGGATGTTGAGAGACAGAAGGAAATGATCAGATATTTGTAGTGGAGTTACTATTGTTTGATCAGTGAAGCAGTGTCGTGTGTAAATAAGGTCTAGCTGATTACCTGATTTGTGGGTAGCAGAAGTAGGTGCTCTTTTTAGGTCAAAAGAGGCAAGCAAAGTCTGCAGCTTGCGGTTTGTCAACGTAAATGTTGAAGTCACCTAGCACCAATAAGAGAGTGGCAAAATTAGAAAAAGATGAGAGAAGAACATCCAGTTCATCTAGGAAGTGACCTAATTTACCTGGTGGGCGGTAGATGACAACCACATTTATGTAGAAGGGGTGGATAATGGTGACTGCATGGAATTCAAAGGAGCTGATTGTTGGCAGGGACGGTATCAGAGTAAATTTCCATTCTTTGGAAATTAGTAGCCCAGTCCCACCCCCTCTCCCTGTCTGACGAGGAGTGTGGGAAAAAGAGAAATTAGCAGAAAGAGTAGCATGTGTAGCAGTGTCCTCCGGCCTCAACCAGGTCTCAGTTAGAGCCATGAGATTATAGTCAGAATATGTAGCTATGGAGGTAATAAAATCAGCCTTGTTAACAGCTGATTGACAATTCCAGAGGCCCACGGAGAGAGAGAGTTGTGAAATAGTAGATACATGTATTGAACGAAGGTTGTGAGGATTACGCCTGCAGCGTACCTCCCGTGTTTTGCGAGTGTTAGTAACAACAGGAATTAGAAAACACATAATAAAAGTGCACTGACAACAAAAAATAAGTGTAAAGTAAAACAATAAAGTAAAGTACTCAAGTGCTTTGTCGGTGTCTTTGCTCGGTGGAGTCGCGCAGGTAGAGTCGATGGTCTTTACCCTCGTCGGTCTTCACACGAGGCGGTCTTCACATGAGGCTGCCGCGACCGCTGCCGCGGTGAACTAGTTGTTTATATAACCCCTAAAGCACTAGCTGATTGAATTCAGCTGGACACGCCTCGAGAGTCAAAACAAGGGCCGAAACTGAGGCGGACGACGCGAAACCGCGTCTGCGTTCGCTACACAAGCTCTTATAGTAACCAAGGAAACAGTGGCTAAACAACTTCTAGTATTATACACAACTGAAAGCAAGTTTAAATGTCCTATAACTTTACACAAACAGCTGGAAACAAGTCCTCAAACCATACACAACAACTGAAACAAATCTTAAATGTACTTACAGGCTGCTGGTCTAGATGCTGCTAAAGTGCTTCTCCTGCCGACTAATGCTAGCGTGCTCACTATATAGTGGTTACCTGGCGTTTGGACACGCCTCGAGAGTCAAAACAAGGGCCGAAACTGAGGCGGACGACGCGAAACCGCGTCCGCGTTCGCTACACAAGCTCTTATAGTAACCAAGGAAACAGTGGCTAAACAACTTCTAGTATTATACACAACTGAAAGCAAGTTTAAATGTCCTACAACTTTACACAAACAGCTGGAAACAAGTCCTCAAACCATACACAACAACTGAAACAAATCTTAAATGTACTTACAGGCTGCTGGTCTAGATGCTGCTAAAGTGCTTCCTCATAAATAATCAATGTATATATTATATATTATATTATATAATGTATATATTACATAATGTATATATTTTATAATGTATAATTATAATGTATATATAATAATCAATGTATCTCATTCCTCATAAATAATCAATAATCAATACACACACACACACACACACACACACACACACACACACACACACACACACACACACACACACACACACACACACACTAACGGTCAAAAGTTTGGGGTCAGTAGGATTTTTAAATGTTTTAAAATAAGCTTATCCTGCTCATCAAGGTTGCATGTATTTATTTAAAAATACAGTACAAAGTGAAAAACTTTATTGCACTATAAAATAACTGTTCACAAGGAGTTTATAATTTAATTTAATCTTTTACTCCAGTGATTTAAATGATGAATGTTCAGCTTCATTACTCCAGTTTTCAGTCACACGATCCTTCAGACATCACTCTAATATTGATTATTATTATTATTATTAGTGGTAATAGTAATGAAAGCAATACTGACTGGAGTAATAATTTACTATAAATTACATAAAATAAGTAATAAATAAATAAGTATTTAATAAAACAAGTGGAAATAACCAAATACATAGTAAATACTTAGCATATTAATGGCTATATGTTTATTAAATTTATTTTGCTTCTTTATTTGACAGGAACAATGGCCAATCAAAGAAATGCCCCAGAATTAACTACATAGATAAATTTCGTCTGCAGTATCTGGGCAGAAAAAATACAAATCATATAACAAAAACATAAAACACAAAATCACAATAAAATAAATAGCATCAAGATTTAAATTATAAACCCGCACTTAATGGTGACACACCCGATGCATTTTTAATCAGCATTTCAATTGTAGCTTGATTTGTTCTAATGTGCATAAAGTCTAATGTTGTTTGGTAGATTATTCCAATTATTGTTAACTCTTACAGAAAAAGAGACTAAAATCAGTGACTCTAAAATTCTTTACACAATCAAGCTCCAGTTTGTCTTTAATTTTCAGTATGAAGAGAATCCTTCAAAATCCTTCAAAGCTGCACTATTATTACCATTTTTTATTACATTAAACAACAATTAAAATGTGTGTTAACAAAAATATACACGATTTATAAATGTCACGTAGGGAACATCTGAACATAAATGCTCTACAAGCATACTAGTTTAAAATTTTCGTGTTTAGTTAGAGATTTTCACTGCATTTCATGTTTTTAAAGTGAAAATGAATATTATTTATTAGCGATTTTATGCTTGTCGAATAAATGGGTATGACACCTGGCAAGCATCTTTTTGTCTTAAAAAGACACCCAAACATAGAGGTCTTTGCTAAAACAAGGCTAAAACACCAAACTTTTGAACCAAAATCTATACTGTTTATTTGTTTATTTATTAGCAAATTATTGCCTGTGGTAATTAATGACATTGAGACAAGTGGTTTTTTTTATCACAGGCCGCAGCTCACCTGTTCCTCCCTCAACTCCCACTGTCAACATCCAGCAGCAGAACTCAACAGGAGCCTGGGAATGGAACAAACCAGCGGCTGCAGGTGAGTGTGGTGGTTTTATCATAGTCATAGCGACACCTGGTGGTTTCATTTGAAATTACAGCTAAAAAACAAAATGACTCACTGCTGAGTCTGACCTGCCATCTGGACTGGTGTGATGAGCTCATGTAGCTCATGAATGTTAATGCCTCATGAAACATTATCTGGCTGACATTATTTTAAATCAGCAGAGCTGGATACTGCTTATCGTTATTTTTAATGGCTTTGATAAGGCTCAGTAGCAAAGATATTTGTTTGTGGCAGTAGTTTAGATGTTTAGATAAAATGCTGACGACATTAAAAGACTATGCTATTTTATTTAATGATGGTTTTAAACTTTTATAATTTGCCACTGTCTTTTAAACAACTATGGTTTGTCCATATAGTGGCTACAGGTTTTAAATAAGTATAAATATGATACAAATTGTCACAATCATTTATTGTTTCATGCATTTTATGTACAGGAAAGACTAAGTTTAATTTTTACATAAATATGTCTGTTACACTGAATGACAAACAAACACCACCAATTTCACCATCTTTTATTACATTTCAGAAAATCATTTAGGTTTACTTGCACACTGTGTGTATTTATATATGTATACACAATTTATATAATCTATATAATAAATTATATTGTAATACAATTTTTATATCATATTTATTATATATATATATATATATATATATATATATATATATATATATATATATATATATATATATATAATTATTTATTAATGAGTTCCCTGATTTTACACCAAACTTAAATTCATAATCTCTATTTATTTCATTATTATTACTCTAGAAAAGCACATTGGCGATTTGTTTTTATAATTTATTTTGCCTCATTTGAATTGTTGTAAGAAGCAGAGTTTGCAGCCATATTACAGAATTCAATCAGTTATGAATACATATCTTGTTTATCATTTTAGGTGGAGGTTTTGGGATGGGCAGTAAATCAGCCAGTACTAGTCCAACAAGCTCAGCCCATGGTACACCCACCCACCAGACCAAACCGAACACTCTTGACCCTTTTGCTGATCTGGGGAACCTGGGAGCAGGCCTTGGAGGAGGTAAATCATATTTTAAAGTTCCTTATGTTAATAAATTCACAATGAAACACTAAATAACACAATATTAGAAGGCTTGCATTAAAAACATCAATTAACAATGTCTTTTGACCTTCTGGATCTTGCAAATATTTTCTAGCTGTACTTTCAGTGATGATGTGACATTAAAATATTATGATTTGTGTTTCGAAGTTTAACCAATGTGTTTTGGATTTGATAATAAGTATTTAAGACAAAATTAACCAATTTTTTGTTGCATTTTTATTATAAATCAGCATTTCTATTAATGTTATGACCTGATAAACGTCTGATATTCACCGCTTATTGGGCAAAGAAAATCATATGGAAACTTCATTGACATTGATTACAAATACAGTATATATATATATATATATATATATATATATATATATATATATATATATATATATATATATATATATATATATATATATTGTCACAGAAGTTCAAAGGTCTTGTAATAACCGCCAGAGACACTCCAGGGTTTTCCTAATGAGTATTTCATTGAGTGCCATATAAAGGGTTAAATTCTGCACTATTTAATGTTCCCAAGAAGTTCTTTGAAATTGCATTTTTTATGTTTGATTCAAAGACAGGGTGGGACATATGGTAACTCCTCTTCTTTCAAAAACAGCCAATAGCATTTCATTTTTATCACTACTCTGCCAGTGTTTGAGATCAAATAGAAGGGGGTGGGATATGTCAGATAATAGAGAGCATTTGATTGGTCAAAAGATTTGATGAGAAACTGATCTATGAGGTGAAAATCATTGACTCATTTAGGTAGTGACAAACTTTGAATGTTTATGTTTTTAAATGCAAATGTTGTCACTGTTTTAGAGCACTCTTAGCTTATACTGTACATCAGAGTTTCTCAACCTTGTACCTGAAGGCACAACAACAGTACACATTTTCAACCTCTTCCTGATCAAACACACCTGAATCAACTCTGCAGAACATTAGAAGAGACTGTAAAACCTGAATGAATGGGTGAGATAAGGCAGACATCTAAAATACGTACTGTTGGTGTGCCTCCAGGAGTTGGGAAACACTGCTGTAGATTGACTAACACACTGATAATAAAAATATATATGTTAATTTCATAATTAAAAAAATAGTAATAATAGACCTTTTTTGTAAGTTGAACAGTTTAATAAATCTATTTAATAGCACCATTTGTCAATAAATTCATCATGGAATCATCTTAATTCCTGTCTTAATTCCTGTTCTACCCCTTAACTTTTCCCCTTACCCCTCGTTTTGTGCGTTCATGTGAAGGGTTAGGGGTGATCCAATTCTCTTTAGCATGAGGACATAAGACTAAGGGGAAGGGCTAGCTCACCCTTGAAACAGAGATTTTCTTGGACCACACTTAAAAACCAAGTGGTACAAAAATTTCCCTGAGTAAACCATCTACAACGGCATAGCTGTACACGGAAGTAAGGAGATGCACAAATTAGTATTTTTTTGTAACTGTTACTAATTTTTACAACAAACAAGCATATGTTTTAATACATTCATAACAATGTTTATGTTTTACCATCATGGTTTTGTAAAAAAACATTAAAAAATGCTAAATTTTGCTATCTATAATCCATAATAATAAATCTTGTATAATAGTTCCACAACATACTTTTACACCTGTCACTCCATGACACTCAAATACCTTCTCAGAAAGAATTATGTTTTTTTTTACAGAATGAGCTTTTTACAGTGTTTCCTATATTGTTAATGTTGTTTCTGTGTGTTTACATAGATGAATATGGCCAGGTTGTAAATGCACAGTAAAGTTATGATCTTATTGCCACATTATATCGTAAGGATAACATTATGTTGTTACTGGTGATTGATATTGTTGTTTGCTGATTTCCTGAAGATAAATGGCAAAAAAAAAATAACGCAACTGGAATAATGACAGCAGCCGCCATCATCGATCTCATATAAAGTAAAATTTGAAGCCCTTTCCCCTCACACTCTGTTTCAAGGATCAAGGGGAAGAGGTAGGGTACAGAAATAGAATTGGGATTGGGCCTAAACTCATTATGTTTTCAAAGGTGGTTCAGGATTTTCCAGCAAACCCACAACACCGACTGGAACTGGAGGTGCATTTCCACCAATGGGCTCCCCCCAGCGTCCCGCACCCTCCCCCCAGCACACCGCATCTGGAGGCTGGCATCCCAACACCGGCTTCCCCTCGTGGCAGGCTGGAGGAGGAGCTCAGTGGCAGCCACAGGCTCAGGGGACTCCAACTAAAGCACCCCCAGCATCCATGCCACACACTTCACCACAGAACAGACCCAACTACAATGTCAGCTTCTCTGCCATGAGCGGAGCATCGCCTGGAGCCGCTGGGCCAAAAGCACAGCCTAATATGGGTGAGCAACTGGACGGAAACTGACCGGTGACATGTCATTGAGTTTGTTTACATGGACACTAATAATCAAATTTTAATGCAATTAAGAAAATACTCTGAATTAGAGTCTACCATGTAAACAGGGATTTTTTTAATTAATTTAGTCCGACTAAAGTCATAAATAATCAAACTAAACAGAAATTGAAGACATGTGGAGTATGTTGATTTTAGTTGCATCATTGAAGTGTAGTACAGACATATAAACATCTTAATCAAACTATTTCCTTCGTGTAGGATTTTTGTTGGATTTTGTGAGAGGATAGTCTATACACACACACATGGCTGTTTGACACAATTCTGTGCACCTACGAAGTCAGCAAAGGACCACAGACACCAGCATTGCGAAATGCAGAGGTTTTTTTCCTATACAGCGTGCGGTATCAAATTCCAATAAAAACAACACTCTTCCAGCAGTTACTCATCTCTTACATACTCATATCCAAAATCTTGTTTGTCATGGGGGGCATGCATAAAATGTTCCTGAATGAAAGTGAAAGTGCCAAACCGCAGTTGAAGTCAACAAATTAAATATGAAACACCTGAAATTACATGAAACTCTGGAGGAAACGTGGGTAGCATGCTGACGCAATGACGTTAATCGAATTCTGTGCTATAACATGTAAAATTAGATCATGAAATGACCATTCAAAAAGCAGCTCATATAAACACCTTTATCAGATATATATATTTTTCAGATTAAGGCAAATAATTTGATTACTAATGTCCATGTAAACATAATCATTGAACACTGGTCTGGTGTAAAGGGGTGGTTCGACCAGAAATGTATTATTTATTTCCCCTGATGTCTTTCCAAACATGTACATCTTTGTTAATATTTCAAAATGCAGATGGATGTATTTTTTTAATGAAGCCTGAGAGGTTTCTGTCTTGCCATTGAAAGTCAATGCAATAGTACTAGTAAAATGTAATAATAAAAGATCGAAAAATGTTGGAGATGTGTCAAATACGCTTTATGTGATGATCACTCGTTGAAAGAAGTCAAATCAGTAGATAAATATGAATTTATTTTACAACGTGTTAATGACCTTTTAGGGTCTTTTAAGTATTTGCTACCTGGATATTCAATTGTGAGAAAAATATCTTATGTTGTTTAAAAAAACTTGATCTGTGTTGAAAGAATAAGTATTATGTGTTTGATAATATGTAAATGGTGAAATCATAATTATTGTATTGATTGTTAATAGCAAAATTCTGTTACGTTTAGAAATGCATTTTAATTGTAAATTTGAACTTATATTAATGTTATGACCAGGTAAATGGCTAATGTAAAAATTCTGTACTGTATAAAAATAAGAATAAAACATCACAATATTTTACAATTATGTATTGCCTAAAGGCTTAATTCTAATAGCAACATTAGATAAAACATTATTAAAAAGTTTTTGAAGATCATGAACACTTGAAAAATGGTATAAAATGGAAGATTTGCTAGTAAATTTTACGGTCGATTAACAGTAACAGCAAGTAACACATTAAAGTAAACATTTTGAAGTGGAAAAAGTAAAATTTTGTGTGAAATATATTTACTTCAATAATCTTTTCATTTACAGCCTAGAAGTTTTTTTTTTATTAAATTTTTTACATTGTATATAAGTTACAGGTACATTAATAAAATGTCTAATATTGGTCTGCATTTCTTAATATTTTCTTAACATTTTAATTTCTACAACAACAAAGACTGCTTTAAAAGGCAACTTACATTTTTCCCTTGTTTCTTTCAGGAACCAGACCAAAGGTTTCAGATGCTAACTTTGATGACCTGCTCTCAGGCCAGGGCTTTGCTGGCGGTAAAGAGAAGAAGGGACCAAAAACCATAGCAGAAATGAGAAAAGAGGAGATGGCAAAAGAAATGGACCCAGAGAAACTCAAGGCAAACTTAAACATACCTGTATTTAGCATATTCTAACTGGTCAGTGCTAATTACTGATTTCCTGTACAATTTCCTATAGTCTGGATTGCATAAACTGGTACACGGGTGCTCATGAGAGTGGACCAGATACAGCAATAGAAAAGTGCTTTTACATACTAGTTGGTATTTCGGCACCTTACACAAGTTACTGATATATCAGGAATTTCCCCATGCATCATTGGTATGATAATTATTAAACGTGTGTTGTTAGTTGTCTAAATAATGTATGAATTCGTTTTGAATATTAGTGATGCTGGTAGGGCGTGGAAGTTTAATTCAGATTTAAGTCATGGATGTAGTTCAGATGGTGCAGGACATAATAAATAGGCTACAGCAACTTTACTATTCTTGTGTCTTGGAGGAAGAAAGCAAAATAAATTTGGTCTCTGTGCAAATGGTCAACGTGGCAATTGCACCAACGAACCATCTGAAAAGCCTGGCCTGGTGCATGGTTCATGTGAACTCCAGTAAAAATGTGAAAGCACAACTGATTACGCATATAGAAATCTAATGATTTTAAAGAAATGCAAATATATATGTACATATATGTAACAAAAGTGGGCTTTTATACAGTATATGAATATGGCTGCATGTAGAATAGCCAAAGCCAATGCCTGTTGCTCCAGGTACTCTTTGAGAACTGAAACAAAACAGTGATGTGCACCACTGGCTATAGTTAATCAATAAATAACATTATTATGTTTAAATATTTATTTCAGATCCTGGACTGGATTGAAGGGAAGGAGAGGAATATCAGAGCGCTGCTGTCCACCATGCACACAGTGCTTTGGGAAGGGGAGACCCGCTGGAAACCTGTAGGCATGGCTGACCTCGTCACACCAGAGCAGGTCAAGAAGGTCTACCGCAAAGCTGTGCTGGTAGTTCACCCTGACAAGGTGAGAGATGTAAATGTTTTAACAAAGGAGGATGTCTATTGTCTTTAAAATCTCTGTGAACCAGAACTTGTTTAGACTTTCATTTCAGTATGCTGATGTACTTCCAACTGAAACAGAAGATTACCTACCCATTTTTTAGTGGACTAACTTTCATTGATTTATTATTAACCTTAAGAAAAACAATGTGAGCTAGCAAAATAAACACTTTAAAGCTAAATTAATGGTTTTAAAAACAAATCAAAAACTTTATTATTACTGTTAAAGACAACCCATAATTACCATGATGATAAGAAGGAAAATGACACAATAAAAATAAAATGTTCAGCATTATTTTCCACTGGATTTCAGGTCAAATGGGTCTTTGTGGTAATGAACTGGCTAATAAAGCAGCAAAAAATCTTTTTCTGAAATGTTAATTTCCTCCTGCTAATCTGTCTTGTATATAAATATAAAAAAATGGCCAATGGACTGAGACAATTAAAGAAATATAAATTGCAAGAGATTAACCTAAGCATATATAAAATCGAATATATATATATATATATATATATATATATATATATATATATATATATATATATATATATATATATATTTTTTTTTTTTTTTTTAAGCCAGGCATAACCAAGCGATTTACACTATATGCTAATACCAGAATGGGTATTTTTATACTATACTAAAATAGAATTGGTCACATCTTTTGTTACAATGTGAAATTTTAAAGTGTATTTGACAAAATCTTATAGTGAGAGTACTTGAATGGATGTTTTTTTTTAATAGAAATGTATCCCTCGGAAGAATTTTTAGCTATTTATCATATATTGTACTAAAAAAATGTATCTAATGTTTTTAATTTTAATTTCTTTAAATTTATTTGCATTTATTTTTTTTAATCTGTTATTGAATATAGCAGTAATTATTATACCTTTTTTTCTTATTTTATAATAAACAAATAAATAAAAATCATTTTATATGTATTTTACATTTTTTTATTGCTTGTAGATGCAGAAGCAGAAGAAAATAAACAGCAACATTAACTAGAACAGAAAGAGTACAAAGACCATTTCACAATACCCAGATTATCAGACATGACACAATACAACTTCTCTAAGAAAGCATAAGTAAAAATAGATTACATTAAATAAGTTATAAAGAAGTGTGTACGCTTTACAACTCAGCGCTTGACAAACCAATCCAGCCCATGAAGAGTTACGAGTCAGCATTACTTACTTATAACTAACCCAAAACAGGCCCATATTCAGACTTTCAATTTTCTAGAATTATTTATTTCTCTAATATAGAAACTGCATAAAGACACTGCAAAACGGTGGCTCAGTGGTTAGTACTGTCTCCTCACAGCAGGAAAATCGCTGATTCGAGTCTCGCCTGGGACAGTTGGCATTTCTGTGTGGAGTTTGCATGTTCTCCTCGTGTTAGTTTTGGTTTTCTCCAAGTGCTCCAGTTTCCCCCACAAGTCCAAAGACATGCGAATCAAGTGAACTGAATAAACTAAATTAGCCGTAGAGTATGTGTGTGTGCGCATGTGAGAGTGTATGGGTGTTTCCCAGTACTGGGTTGCAGCTGGAAGGGCATCCGCTGTGTAAAACATGTGCTGGATAAGTTGGAGGTTCATTCTGCTGTGGCGACTCCTGATAAATAAAGGGACTAAGCCGAAGGAAAATAAATGAATGAAAATTGTAATTAGAATTATCATAACGCATTCTATTTATAAAGGGTTTGCCATGAAATAGGCTTAAATTGCTAATGTGGCAATAAATAATAATAATAATAATAATAATTATTATTATTATTATTATTAACATTATTATTATTAAAATTGTTGAAAATGCTATTGTGATGTGTGTTCCTGAACAAACACTGCTGTGTTCTCTTTCTTCCCATCCGCAGGCTACTGGACAGCCCTACGAACAATATGCCAAGATGATTTTTATGGAACTAAATGATGCCTGGTCGGAATTTGAGAGCCAAGGACAGAAAGCTCTGTACTAAGACTTGCTGTAAATGATCACAACCAGTCAGCAGTTCCTGCCCACTTTAGACACCCCGCAACCCAGCAGTCCTTGAAATGCTCCTTTGTTATCTCTCCCACCTCCAGGACCCCTGCTTCATAGAGACGTCAGAGCTTACATCTACAGTATAGTTGTGTGTATCTCTCTATCCATCCACGTATCAGGTTAGATCATGCCCTAGGCCAACATATCTGCTGTACCAGAAGACTGCTGTTGGGAAAAGTACTGTAGCATTCAGGTTTGTCTTAAGAAACTCTTTATTTGTGTTTTCCCAGGACTCACCTGCATAACAAAGTTCAGAGTTTGCCGTTACTTATCTGTGACATATTTCTGTGAACAATATGAGTCACGAAAGTCGTCAAACAATGTCTGGGAGGAGCTTTCGGATGAGTTTTTAATGTAGTGCTGAGGAAACATCTTCCAAGAAAAAAAAATGGAATAGTGTGTAGACACTCCAGGATACTGCAAAACAACCTATACAAACTGGATTAAATACTGCAGCAATTCAGTACAAACCTGTTTGGGTGTTAATTTATTAAAGGAATAGTTTACCCAAAAATAAAAATTTTCTGTTTAGCTGAAACTGTGATTCTTTGTGACCAGTAAAATACAAATGAATGGAGACTGGCACTTTGAGAGGAAAAATAAAACACATACAGACAAATCTAAATGAATCCACATGGATTTTGATGATATATTAAGGTCTTACAAACTGAAGTGGTCATTTTTACCTTTTACATTTTAAGTTTACACACTGCAAATAATGCTTTTCCTACTTAAAGTTTTTGTTTCTAGTCCAAATATCTAAAAAGAGACATTTTCTAGACAATAAAAAATACTGTCTTGTTTTTAGAAATAATATGGCAAAATCTAGCGGAGTATTTTTTAAAAACAAGCAAAATGATCTGCTAATGGGGTGAGTAAATTAGTCCTGTTTTTGCTTTAAAATGCAGCCTGTATTATCAGATTATTTAGCTTATTTTAAGAAAAACTTTTGACATTAAAATTTTTATTTGACAATAAAAATTGACATTAATTTTGACATTAATTGACATTATTTTCAAAAACAAGCCTTTTTTTTTTTAGCTTGTCTAGGAAATGCTTATTAACAATTTGTAGATATTTGGACTAAAAAGAAGACAAAACTCTAAGAAACATTTTTGTAGTGCAACAGTCTATAGCAAAAATGACCAACTCATAATGATGTACAGCCTGTGTCACTGTGGGCTCATATGTGAGCTGATTTAGTTAGTTGTACAACAGAGAAGACTTGTGTGTCATACTGTCCATCAAAACTGATTTTACTTGCACTTATCCTGAAAAATGTTTACATTCGGTCTTAATTTAAGTTCAAAAGCAAATTTCAGAAAAGTTTTGCAAATTTGATTGCCACTTTTAAAATGGAACTCCATTTGTAGAGGTAAACGAAGAAAATAATAAATTAAAGTAAATAGTATGTGCAATGATCTCTTTGAGGAAGTAGCTAGCATTAATGGTAATGAGACCTGGATTGATGAGTCATCACAATTAATTCTGAAGCTAGATATAGCAGGAGAGTTTGAGTTAATGTATATATAACATATTAATCTAAATTCTTTTGATATTTTAAAAAATATATTACACATAACGCAAATCATTTGCAGTTTGATTTAACTTCATTGGTTAAAAAAGTAGATATTTACCTGGTTTTAAAGAAGAGAAAGAACAATGTTGATTTTTAAAACCTAATTTGAAAACGTGTATTTTCATCTTTCCTAGAGATGGTTTGCAGCTTTAAGGGCATCCACTGCTTAAAACATGCTGCATAAGTTGCCGGTTCATTCCGCTGTGGCAACCCCAGATTAATAAAGAGGGACTAAGCTGAAAAGAAAATGAATGAATGTATTTTTATTATGATAATAAAGTGGTTATTAAACATTAGAATGAAGATAATGAGGAAAATACATTTTCTTCATCACTCTTATGTGGAAGTGGCTTCCAAAAGGCTTAGATACAATAACAAGTGGCATTTAGATGCTCACTTTTGGCTGAAATGTGCCCTGAGATACCCAATGAATAATAACTCATTATTTGACAAAAACGTTTTGTGTTTCAGACTATTATGAATGCACACATTTGTTAACCCTTTGGATTAAAAGATGTAAACAACATTTAGTTTCTTGCACAGGCTGAACATTTCACTTTATAAGACCTTGATGCATCATCTGGAACAACAGATATTAACTTTATTTTGCCTTATTATTATTTTTTTTTATAAAGAACCATAGTTTCAGTCTATCTTCTTTAATATTCAACTGAAAAAAGAAAGAAAAAATCCTGGATGACCTGAGAATGAGTAAACTAACAGTACATTTTTATTTTTGTGAATTGTCCCTTAAGATTTTTGCATGTTAGAGCAATGTGCGGGATTTTTTCTGCTTCTTCCATTGTATTGATTGCGTTCAAAGCTCCTGCTCACAATTAACATATGACGGGTCGGGTGTATATTTATTTGTTGGCTTTGCAATTATGAAATTTGTGAAAATAAAAGTGGGTCTCTGTCGAATTACGACTAGTTTCTAAGTCTATAGGTTAGAGGTTTAGAAAGATATGCACAAATGAAAGAACACTGAACAAAATACATTCAACCACTGAAAATTACCGTATCGTTTAACACTTATCTTCTTTCAAAGGTGAAGTGATGTGGTGCTGAGGGGCAAAAGCACAAAAAGTACGAGAGACTGTTCAGGAAATGTGTGATTTCCTTAAACTTGATCTGTGAAATGCAGTAGATTTTACTTGCAGTTTACTCCTATGTTGTTTTCTACTGATCTGTCTGTATATGTTGCACTATAATAACATACTGTTTACAACATATAAACTCAAATGAAATTTATTCGTGTAGTTATTATCCACAGGAAAGAAATAACTGAGTGGTTTTGCTGGTACCTCAAAGTTACCCTGGCTTGTTTCAAGCTATTTTGAAGGTTAAATGGATAGCTCACCAAAAAAATCTAAATTCAGTCATCATTTACTCATCCTCCATTTGTTTCATACTATGGATGTCAATGGCTACCAGTTTACAACATTCAAAATGATTTTTTTTTGTCATCAGTAAAAAGAAACTCATAAAACTCTGCTTGAGAGTGAGTAAATGGTGAGTAAATCTTTATTTTTGGGTGAATCCCTTAAACGTTGTCTTTAAATACACAGTTTGTTAATATGATCTCCTAACTGGTTGATAGTGCGCTAAAGAGCTAGTCAAACATCTTACTTTCTTGAAGCCCTAAACTGATATCAAGATGGCTTAAATTTGCTTTGTTTTGCCTACCATGCCGTTGGAACGCATTCATGCTCACTAATGCTAATGCTAATGCTAACAAAGCCTTTTACTGAGGAATGCGATGGAAGGAAAGGGTTGTTTTGTTGCCACAGGTGTCTTTTAAACCAACTGAACATATCATTCAGAGTGAACCATTAACATTTCAACATGAAATCATAAAAACGTTTAATCAACGTACAATGCAGCTCTTTTAGCATATCTCTGTCTTCTCATAAATGTACTGCATGTTTGACTATAAGTGGCACATGGTCCAGATTCAAAGGAAGTTTCTAGAGTGTCCAGCCACTAATCTGCCCTTTCTCTTTACAGTATATTTGCACTTGAATGGCATTAGGTAAATCCAGAACACACTTGTGTCGTAACTTGCAGTACTTGCTGTACATTTCATTCATGCTTTGCCTTCCTCTTTTCAGAATCATGTGCTGAAATACTAAAGCTTTAACCGTTATCAGAGCAGTCTTCTCTCTTAAGTTTGTCTCCTTTAAGTTTGCCACCTTTTCCTTCCCTTGACACAAAGACTTGAATTAGTGAGAACTGATTAAAGAAAGAAAACTTTTCCACCCTCTTCTTGTGGACTGAGCCGTTTATCTTCGATTTTAGGATATCATATTGTTCGGATGCTAACCTCTGTATACAGTAGTGAATGTGTGGTGTTCAATAACGCTGTTCTCTGTAAGGAAGTGGTACGGTTTGGATACAGCTCTGTGTTTGTTTGCTGTATCAGTATTATTGTGACATGCATTTGTTTTCTGTGTCTTTTTTTTCTGTTCCTGTTCTCCTTATGGAGCTGTACATATGATAAAGTGCATTGCACAAATAAATGGAAACCGAATGAGATTAATGTTTGTGTGTGTGCGTATATGCTATTTGTAAGGTTAAAAAAAAAGTTTTGTTGAAAGTACTTAAAAATTTAAGTGCTGTTTGTCTGACTTTGTTTTTAGTGGAATGATTCAAATAGTGGATCTGTGTTTCCTTTTGAGCAGAGATGTCCAAACTAGGGCCGCTGGCCAAAGTTGGCCCATGGTAATCTTTGATTTGGCCCACTATCCCATTCAAGAACAGAAGGAGAATGATGGGATGATTTAGAGATGACATTTCGAATTTAATTGAACCTTTAATTTGTTTGTTGTATTAAGCTACAAAAAGCTAACTGGATTTAAATGTTTCAATTCAAATGCTGTTATTTAATCAGATTTACTTTAAAATGTACATACTCTCACTCGACAGATGGAGTACTTTGGTGAGCAAATCAAAGCAAAGGCAGATTCTCCTTAACTACGTGTTCAGCATTGAACTATACTGTATATTAAATGTGATTGTTTATGTTTTTATTGCAATAAGTTGCTATTAAAAAGTTATACTGCATTAGTTAATAGGATATGAAGTAATGTTCATTTTATGAAATAAATCAGGAAATTACTGATGGCAACATTAATGTATAATTGTTTGGTATATTTTTTTCTTCGGCCCACAGCTGTCAATGATATTTGGTTTTTGGCCCTTTTAACTAAAACGTTTGGGCACCTCTGCTTTTAAGTCAAGTTTAGTTACACTACTTTAAAACACAGATTAATAAATTTGTCACAAAATTCCTATTAAATTAGATGGCTTGACATGTATTAGTTTATAGTAAATTTAGTAAATGTATTATAAATATCATACATGCAAGTTCAATGCATCGCATAAAGAAATAACTGGTTAATAGTACCCTAAAGAACTATTCTATTAGTACTTTCTTGAAGCTGTAGACTGTTATAAGGAGGCCTAAATCTGCTGTGTTTTGCCTTCCATACATTCATGCTCGCTTATGCTAATGCTAACAAAGCATTTTTTTCTGAGGAATGTGATGGAAGGAAAGTGTTGTTTTGTTGCCACAGGTGTCTTTTAAACCAACTGAACATATGATTCAGAGTGGACCATTAACATTTCAACATGAACTCACAAAGACGTTTAATGAACATTCATTCATTAATTTTCTTTTTGGCTCAGTACGTTTATTAATCTGTGGTCGCCACAGTGGAATGAACAACTAATTTATCCAGCATAATCAACATGCAATGCAACCCTTTTAGCATACCTCTACCTTCTCATAAATGCACTGCATGTTTGACTTTTGACTGTAAAGAGCACACGGTCCAGACGAAGTCTCAGATGAAGTTCCTAAAGTGTGCAGGCATGAATCTGCCCTTTCTCTTTTGGCTTGACATGTATTAGTGTATCATACAGTATATGCATGTTTTATGCATTCATAAATTCTTTGTATAGTTTCCTTTTACCATTCCTAGAATATTAATTTTCTCATTTTAAAATGGTAGCTTTCCCCTTATTTTTATTTATTTTCCATTTTCAAAGTTTAAATTATTTTATTTAACTTTTGAAAAATAAAGTGATAAATATGAAAAATATTTTGTCTTTAAAACTGTCTTTTAAAGTACCTGTTTTATAAAAGCTATAAGCCCAGTAAAACTGGGTTACAGTGACAATAATAACAGTTAATGGAGTTAAATTAAATTTAGTTATGGTCAAGCAAAGCTGGAAACAAAAAAATGTATATCATAATTTTAAAAGCCCATGGGGCATGATGCATACAAGTGAGCACATAAAAGTTTACAATGCAATACATTAGCAGCACATGAATGTAAAGGAAAGGATGAGTAATCCTGCTGAGTCATCACACCTCTTTCAGTGGCTGATTCATTTGACTAGCCCCGTCCATATGAGGATGAAGAAAAGGATGATCATCAGAAAAGTGTGATGTGGAAAAAATGTGGCTTTGGCAGGGTTTAGGTCTACAGCAATTGACACCAGCCATTCTAAAAAGAGATTGAGTTCAAATAATTATTTGCTTGACCCTATTTGACTTTGCTCTTTAACACGGATTGCTCTGATGAAAACACCGTGCCATCTGAATCCATGCCAGCCTGACCTTTAACCCCTAGAAAAAAAACCTTATGGTATAGAGATGGTGGCCACAAGATGGCGGCAATACAATGTTTTTTCTCCACATTCGTCTACTTAGGCTATATTTTCTATGTAAGTTATAAACGAAACCAAGAAAACCGCACTGATAAAGTATTTAGAATGTTTAATCAACGAAATGTCACTTTTCATTAAATGCGTCATGTGAAAATTGTCATGTGCTTATTTTTGGAAACAAAGAAGCATGGAAAATTTCGTGACAAACGGTGAGTTAGAAAATAAGTGGAGTCAAATAGAAGTGTTTTTACATCTCAGTTTGTTTCTTTTTCTTGTCATTTTCAGTATACAGGCAGCATTGAACACTGCAGTGGACCAATTTGTTTTAAAGTAATCGAAGAAAACAATGTCTAATTTTAGTAGAGAAGTAATCGTTCTGAAATATTTGTCCCTCTTTACTGTCCACCCTAATATTATATGAAGGGAAAACAACAGGGGGGGGGGCATGTGCGAAAGCCTCTGTTTTGTTAATTGTGTAGTTTTAGTGATTTAATCTTTCCTATCTGATATGGTGAAGTTCAGTGTCCAAGTAAAAATACAATCACTTACCCACAAATGTAGTGCAAGTAGAGTAAAAGTATTTATTGTAAATACTACTCAAAGTATGAGTAAGTAGTCCCTTTTAAAAGTACTCAAGAGTATTTTGAGAATGAAAACATGAGCATGGAATTTGTGTGTGAAAACGTAAGATTCTGTAGTGCGGTTGTTTAAGGCCATTTGCCGATTTCAGTCAGCACATTATCCATCCATCATTTTCTCATCAGTGATAGTCTAATAGTCTAAACAGTCTCTCTGTCATTGCTTGTAATAATATTGTATCTTCTGTGTCTTGAGGTTGCTCTGTATGATGGGATATTTCTATGTACGTTTGAGTGGACGGGATTTACAGGAAGGATTCTACACCATAGATATAAAAAATAAAGTAGTAAATGCAGGTTGAAGGCAATATGGTACTAAAAGTACTGATACAGCACTAAAAATGTATATAAGTGAAAATATATGTATATAAGTGCACATTTTTTAAACTAGTATCATTGCTGAGAAAACGTACTCAACTACAGTAATTTGAGTATTTTTGTTATTATTAAAACAAACACTTAAAAAAAATTTCATTCTTTATTTTTCAGACCTTTATTGATCTTTTTCCTTTGCTTAGACTTCCTGTAACTTTAGTTTAAAATGTTCAAATTTTAGCTGATATCTTTTTATAGCTTTATTTGTAAATATCCACCAGTGTTTTTTTTTTTTTATAAAATCTGGATACAAATCTGAATTATTTATTGTCACTCAACAATCATTTGAACTTAAAAAAAAAACAAAAAAAAAACAAAAACATTTTTAGCCCTAAATATACTTAGAACATAAAAGTATTTTCCAGCAGTGATTTCATGATTAGCCTCAGTAGGTTTAAATGTGCAGTAGGTGATTGTCTTCAGAAGCATTTTTTTGTTGTGCTGGTTGAAAGTCTCTTCACAATCTAATAGTAATGATGACAGTAAATGATCTAAATGTATTTATATGTATTTTTATATTTTGGGTAAGGCATAAAACAAAAAATTGTTCATCCAATTAAATAGAGTCGGACCGACATCTCTTATAATTCCGATAAGTAGCCCAATCTGTCTGTCAGCAAATGCAGATTTGAACAACTGCACAGCCGTTTGTATGCAGCTTCGCCCATAGATATATACATCTATGAGCTTCGCCGACGTTCACGAGAGAGAGCACGTGTGGGCGGGCGATCGGTAAAAACATGCTGAATCAAAACTTTTAAAAAACCTGAATCAATATTGGAGTTACCTTTGCACGCTGGAGAAAGGATGACACCACGTCTGAAGGATTTCTCTTAGACAGGAAATGTTCTGTTTTTAAACAGTTTTAGCTTCACGGAAAGCTGATGTAATGTTAGATGTTGTTGTTACAAATGGGTTATATCTTCACAGAAATGTTGTTCAGCTACTAAAATATTTAGATGAAAGATTGATAAGACTATTTTAAGTTTCATAAGGGACCTTTTACAGCCTCAATGATCATTCATTTTCTTGTCGGCTTAGTCCCTTTATTAATCCGGGGTCGCCACAGCGGAATGAACTGCCAACTTATCCAGCAAGTTTTTACACCTTGGATGCCCTTCCAGCCGCAACCCATCTCTGGGAAACATCCACACACACAATCACACAAACACGCACACACACACACACACACACTACGGACAATTTAGCCTACCCAATTCACCTGTACCACATGTCTTTTGACTGTGGGGGAAACCGGGGCACCCAGAGGAAACCCACGCGAAGGCAGGGAGAACATGCAAACTCCACACAGAAACGCCAACTGAGCCGAGGTTCGAACCAGCGACCCAGCGACCTTCTTGCTGTGAGGCGACAGCACTACCTACTGCACCACTGGCTCGCCAGCATCGATGATGTAGATTTTAATTAGTTTAACAACAAAAAACAAGTAAATAAATACAGCTATTCCGCCTAGTCTCTCCCCAAATTGTTTACCATGCAAAATTTGCTCTGAAATAGCATGTCAGTTTGGCTTGCCGGACAAGCACTAGTCGCTTTTAAGAGAGGGTTCTTTTGCGGTGCTCGTGTTTCAGGAGGCGTGGCTTTAGATGGCACGTGACTGTGATTCAGAGATTTATGTAAAGCTGTTTTAGGATTGTGGAAGATCACCTACTGCACGTTTAACGGATCAAATACTGTTACTGGGTATTCGGTTTGTTTGTGTGACATAAAAAAAAGTCCTTTATTTAAAACTTTCCTGGGTGTTGTGGATAAAACTATGAAAAAACATTAATTCAGTCCTCACAATGTCAGTTGTCACAGTCATTGATTGTTATCTTTCAATTCCAGACAT